CCAAGGGCAGAGGACAGGCCCCTCTTGATGGGTGGGACAAGCTCAAGCTCAGGGAATCTGTGAATGTCTGGGGCTACAGGGCTGAAGCTAAGACCCCACCCCAGGGTCCCCAGTTCCATTGCTCTTTCCAGAAAATTTACCCCTTGTCCACAGTTCCATCAGAGAGCTGGTTGAAGGCCGGACATTGGTCCAAGAGACCAAGTTGGGGAGTAAAGATTTCCAAGCCGGGTGTGGTGGTGCACACCTGTAATCCCAACACACTCAGGAGCTTGAGGCAGGAGGATCATGAGTTCAAGACCAACCTGGGCTGTATGGTAGACCGTGTCTCAAAAAACAACAAAAGATTGTAGCTGCTTTTAACTCTGTACCAAGAGTACCATGTTCTATGTAAAATATCGGGGGACTTGTTTTCACCACTGCTGTGCAGCTGGTGTTCTGCGAGTGCCCGTGAATTGCTCCTGTCACCTGCTGAGTCCTCTATGCTGACGGGCATCTGGCCCAGGGCCAGAGAACACGCTGTTCCGAATTCCCTCCTCTAGGATCCTGTCACACATCCATAAAAGGGTGGACACTGCGGAGCAGCAAGACTGAGTCATGAGGAGTGGGCTGTGGGCCACCCCTGCCTCTGGCTTTCCCCACCCCCAACCTTGGGGCAGCATTACCCAGGGAACCCCACAAGCAGGTGGCCCGACCCAGCTGAGCCTCAGTCTTCCTGTCTGTGAAATGGGGATATTTACTCTGTATCCACGGGTTCTGCACCTGCAGATTCAACCAACCAAAACTACTTTGGGGGAGAAAAGTCCAGGAAGTTTCCAAAAGCAGGAAATTAAATTAGCTGCACACCGAGCATCCCAGGGAGTCTGTGTGAATGAGGTGGCACGGGGGCATGGCGTTGGGTAATCCAAGTCACCTCCGACGACCTAATTGTGACCGGGAGGATGTGTGTGGGCTGCATACAAAGAGTATGTCATTGCATTCCAAGAACTTGGTGACCCATGGGATCCTGGATCCCTGTGGATACAAAGAGTGACTGATTTGGACTGCACATTCATTCTTTTTTCAGCAGTACTGCAATTTGAACTCGGAACCTCACACTTGCTAGGCAGGTGCTCTGTCACTTGAGCCACTCCTCCAGCACTTTGTGCTTTAGTGATTGTTCATATAAGGTCTCACAGTTTTGTCCCAGTTCAACCTGGACCACAGTCCTCCTACCTATGTCTGCCACGGAGCTGGGGTGACAGGCAGGCACACTGTGCCCAGCTTATTTGTTGAGATGGAGTCACGCTAACTTTTGCCGAAGCTGGCCTCAAACCATGCTTCTCCCATCTCTGCTTCCCACATAGCTGGGGTTACAGGTGGAAACCACCATACCCGGCCCCACCCATTCCTTCTTTGTGTACTGTCACTGTGTACCTAGTCCCATGCCAGGTACTGAGGACCTAAGAGCAGAGGGCTTGCTCATGAAGATGGCTGTCATCACCACTGGGGAGGTGATGGATGAGCTGGCAAATGCAAAAGGTCCATGGGAGAGAACACCATCCCTCCCACGGGTGGTGTGCTGGAGCCACAGCCTATCGTCTGTCACCTACAGGTGCCTGTGAAATGCAGGCAGCCCATCTGGGGCTCTTTGCAGGGCCCCTCTCCTTTGGTTTGGGGGGCCAGGTCATTTGTGAAGCAAAGACTTGGATTCTTTTACATTATCTAATTTTTTTTCAGTGCTGGGGCCTCATGCATGCTAGGCAAGGGCTCTACCACTGAGCCACAGCCCCAGTCCTGACTTTAAAGTCTGCCAGCCAGGCTCTTATTAGAAAGATTGGGTTATTCTGGGGTGAACCAGCCCGCAACCCTGACGGGGTCTGGCTGACTCTCAGGATATCAGGATTCTACATGAATCAAGCCTCTCCAGGCGCCTGTGACTCACGCCTGTAATCCTAGCTACTTGGGAGGCTGAGATCAGGAGGATCACAGTTCAAGGCCAGCCTGAGCAAATAGTTTACAAGCCCCTATCTCCACAATAACCAGAACAAAATGGACTGGAACTGTGGCTCAAGCTATAGAGTGCCTGCTTTGCAAGTGCAAAGCCCTTGGTTCAAACCCCAGACTCCCCCCCAAAAAAAGGTCAGGGGGATGGAGCAGATGTGAGTGGCCTGGAGTTCAAGTGGGACAGGACTCCCTGGCAGAGGACGTGGAGGCCAAGGAAGCAGCAGAAGGGTCTTGAAGCTGACTCAAGTGGTGACCTGAAAGACAGCAGCAGGTCTGACTGGCCACTCACCCTAGACCAAGGCGCCCATGGCATTGAGACAGACATGCAACAGCTGGCAGGCCACAGGCACTTGCCCCAGGGGACAGATCACTTCAACAACTTCTTTATTTATATTTATTTATTTATACCCTGTGTCCACAGAGGCTGAGGTTGCTTTCTGGTGTTTATGTCCTCCAGAAAAATTCATTCAGTCTATTTCTGGAGTGTCCCCACGGCTGCAAGGGTGGCGGGAGCGAGCATCTTGCCCATTTGACTTCACCAGGGCTCTCAGACAACACATAGCCCCTCCCCAGCCAGTGTGCACCTGCTTGGTGCCATCTAGAAATTGGGGTTTAGAAGGTTCTCTCTGAGAACATGGGGGGGTCCCTAGGAAGGAGCCAGGCCAGACCAGCAATTACTACTTACTACGAGGATGATTTGCTGTTGTCCTTGGAGGACTTAGAGATTTTATTATCCAGGCCTTAGTTGCAGATTGGCTATACTACAAGCAGTAACAGAGCGGTAATTTGAAAACCAAAGAGCTGGAAGGAAATGAAGGAGTGGGTGGTGTGGGCTGAGCAGAATGTCAGAGGGGAAGACGAGGCACCTCGATCGCCACCCAAGCACTGACATCTTCTTGAAGGTCAGGAATTTATACAGAACAAAACTTACCCTTTGAGGTGGACAGTTTTGGGGCTACGCAGGGAGACCCTGTCTCAAAAAAAATAAAAACAGAGCTGGTGGAGTGGCTCAAGTGGTAAGAGCACCTGCCTAACAAGAGTGAAGCCCTGGGTTCAGACCCCAGTGCTGCCAAAAAGAAAAAGGAAATCAGCCTGAAAATAAATAAAAAGAGAGACTGCTGAGCGTGGTGGTGCACACCTGTAATCCCAGCACTCAGGAGGATTGCAAGTTCCAGGCCAGCCTGGGCTACATTAGTGAGACCCTGACTCAGTGAGACTAAGCAATCCCATCACCACAAGAAAAATTCCCCAGCCCCCTTCCAAGCTAGGGTGGCAGTCACTCGTACATCCTTAGAGTTTTACTCTTTCAGACATTGTGTAAGTAAATTCCTCCGGTATGTAACATTTTGGGTGTGGCTTCTTCACCTTAGCCAAAGGCATCCACGACTCATCCTCACGATTGTGCGAATCAGCGACTCCCACTCCTCACTGCCAGCCGCTACTCCATGCCCGTTTCCAGTCCAAGGACAGCTGGCTGGTTTCCAGTCTGCAGTGATTACAAACAGGCTGGAAGCTTTGCCCACGGGTTTCTGTGTGGGCACATTCCCGTTTCCCCGGGTAAATCCCCAGCTGCAGGATTGCTGAGCCCCACGGTCTGTGGGTGCTTCCCTGTGTAAGAAACTGAGGGATGGGCTGGGTGTGGTGGTGCAGGCCTGTAATCCCAGCTAAGCAGCAGAGGTAGAAGGATCACAGTCCGGGGGCAGCCCAAGCAAAAGTCCGAGACCCTGAAAAATAACCTAAAGCATACAGGGCTGGATGTGTGGCTCAAGTGGTAGGGGACCTGCCTAGCAAGAGTGAAGTGCAAGAAAGAGAAGGGAAGAGGGAAGGGAGGAGAGAGGAGGGAGGGGGAAGGAGGAAGGAAGGAAGGACCCGCAGATAGGGGTGCAAATGGACCACCACTGTAGCACCAGCAACACAAGCGAGGGCTCTCCTGGCTCCACACCCTGGTGGACGTCCCGGAGAACGAATTTGATGTCGTGGAGTGTTTGCTGTTAAGGCTGCAGTGTCTGTCACAGGGCAGCTGATGGGAAAGAGGATGGAGTGGAGGGGACCCATGGACACACTGACCGCCTCATCCCTGTGACACTGGCCACTTCCAGATTCCATTTCCATGTTGGTCTGGGGACAGGCTGTCTGAGCCTCACCTGGGTGACTCCCTGGTTCTCTTGGTCGCAGCTTTGCATGACTGTGAATGTCACACATCAGGCGTGGGGCCTGTGTCTGACACTTGGGAGAGTGCCACCAGCTCGATTTCCTACAGCTGCTGCCTGTGCATGCTCAGACTTGTGTCCCTCCTGCAGACACAAATCCAAGGGGCTCTGGCTGCGTGGGGGACAGGGACATGAGTGTCGGGGGCGACCTGACTCTCCTCACCCAGGAAGCAGAGTCTCAAAGCCCAGCCCAAGTGCAGTCTGGACCCAAGCTGCTGTGTCTGCTGGGTACCCAGCATGTGCTAAGGACCCAGGCCAGAAGGGACAAAGACTCCCAGTCCCTGTCCTTAGGTCTTGTCTGGGGAATAAATGAGCCACATACACCATGGTCATGTCAACACATGTCACACATGACAGCCACAGTCTCTCTCCCATAAACAAGTTCAAGGGCTGTGCTGTGGGGTTGGTAGAATTTGGGCCTAAGTGACCGGGGATCAAAGGGGCCCAGGACAGTGCAGTGACAGAGGCCTAGAGGTCGCAGTGACAGAGGCCTGGGGGTCACAGTGACAAGGCCCAGAACACACACACATGCCCTGCCCAAGCTGTCCTTCTGTCACTTCCTTCCCTGGTACACGGGCTTCAGGGATGGCTGGTTCAAGGGTCCCCAAAGATGGGGGCATAGAGGACTTAGTCAGCAACGTCTGTCATGGCCTCCCTGTGACCCCCTCTGCCAAAAGTGGGGGGAGCACGGAAGGCAGGGCAGCCAGCTTCTCGAGGGTCAGCAGCAGCAGCCTAGGATCAGACCCCTGGGTAACCTGTGTCATGTTCTGCTGTAACCAGATGTCCTGTGTCTGTCTGTCCGCCCAGGTGCAAGTTCTTCAGTCTGACAGAGACGCCCGAAGACTATACCATCATTGTCGATGAGGAGGGTTTCCTGGGTAAGCGCGTCCCTCCCACCCTGAGGTCGCACTGGGTCTCCGTCAGTGCCACCACCCTCTGTTCCTGTCCCTGCCTGCCTCCTTTCTTTCTGTCTCTCTCTCTCTCTCTCCCTTTCCTTCTTCTTTCCTTCCTCTTTCTTTCTCTCTCATCTCTCCCTCTCTCCTTTCTTCCTCCCTGCCTTCTCTTCCCTTCCTCCCTCTCCTCCTCCATCTTTCCTTTCTCTTTCCTTCCCTGCTTCCTTCCTTCCTTTATTGTACCAGGGCCTCACAATCGCTAGGCAGGTGTTCTGCCATTTGAGCCACACCCCAGTCTTTTTCTAGTAGGTTCTCCTCTTTCTGCCTCGGTGGGGCTGAGGCTCAGTCCTCCTGTTTACACTTCCCACGTAGCTGGGATGACAGGAGCACACACCACACCCTGCAGTTGGTTAACATGAGGTCTTGAGAACTATTTGCCCAGGCTGGCCTTGAACCTTGATCCTCCTGATCTCCACCTTCCGAGTAGCTGGGATTTCAGGCATGAGCCACGGGCCCCAGCCGGCCCACGAGGTTGCACAGCCATCACCTGACCTGATTCCCGAAAAGAACGTCTGTACTCCTCAGTGGTCACTCTCCGACTCCCCCATTCCACCTGCAGTTCCTGGAGTTCTGTTGCGAATTTATGACGTGTGTGTGTGTGGCTCCCCAGGGACAGCAGTCATTGCCGGGGTCCCTCTGAGCTGAAAGGATGATGTCCTGCAAATAAGCTCTCTTTGTTCTTACCCAGTGACAAGGCAGAAGGACACCACGTGCCTTGCACACAGGCAGTGGCACTAGACTCCTACAAAATCCAAGTCACACTCTTCAAAACATGCCGAGGAACCTGGGCATGGTGGTGCATGCCTGTAATCCCAGCACCATCGAGGCTGAGACAGGGAGATGGAGAGTTCCAGGCCAGGGCTGGCGCAGTGACTCAAGTGGTAGAGCGCCTGCCTAGCAAGTGTGAGGCCCTGAGTTCAAATTCCAGTACTGCCAAAAAAGAAAACAAAGTATAGGTGGAGTGGCTCAAGTGGTAGAGCAGCTTATATTTTGAACTCAAGTGTAAGACCCTGAGTTCAAATCCTAGAACTGCCATAAGAGTTCCAGGCCAACCTGGCCTACATAGTGAAACCCTGTCCCAATAAGTAAGTAAATAAATAAACAAATAAATGAGATCATGCAGAGATGCACTCAGTTAGACATTTTAGAAAGCTGCAGTCCAGCCGGGTACAGTTACTCATGCCTGTAATCTCAGCTACTCAGGAGGTGTAGGTGGGAGAATCACACTCCAAGTCCAGTCTGAGCAAAAGTGTGAGACCCTATCTATAAAAACAAAAGGATTGGGGATATCACTCAAGTAGTCAAGCACCTGCCTAGCAAGCACAAGACCATGAGTTCAAATCCCAGGACCTACAAAAAGAAAAAAAAAAAAAAGCCACAGTGCCACCCCCAGAGGTGACTCCTGCATAATAATGTCTGGATTTTTTTTTTCCTTCCCAGCTATTTTCTGGGCACCAGGGGTTTCCTTTCCACTTATATTTATGATCACTTACATAGAAACGTTTTCACTTAAACATTATAGCTGAAAACGCCCTCTGTCACTCCCGGCCTCGACAGGAGACACAGTGGTCACTCCATCCTGCTCCTTTACCCAGGTCTCTTCGGTTAGAGTTTTAGCTGATTGCATTTTTCTTCGATGATAAACTTATAAACTTCATAAAAGTTCTTGCTCCCGTCATTCCTGCAACAGGTCTAGGAGTGACATTGTGGGACAGGAGGGGACCAGGGGAGGGTTCTCGGTTCTTGTTGCCAGGGCAGCCCTTATCAGAGCCTCTATGCTGCTCAGAAAATGAATCTCAGAGAAAACTTCCAGAAACAACTCCCCCTAGCTGTGCTCAGGAGGTCGAGCTAGCGTGGGGTGCTGAGCCAGGGCCCCCCTACATCTTAAGAAGCACCGTGTCTCTCCCTTGTCTCTGGGGGGACATTGTGTGTCTGTGGGGGGGCACACAACTCAGTAAGGAGAGCTTGTGTCCAGGTCACCCAGCGCTGGCCCTGACCCATGCCCAAGGTGCCACCTACTTGCTCGCTCAGTGTTTTCTGTGCACAGGAACCACAGACAGACCTGCGTCTCTGAGCACAAGTACAGACCGTGAGCCCGGGCAGTCCAGACTTGTTTAATTTATTTATGTCACTCACATACTGTCCCCCAGAACTGGTGAGCCTCGCACAGGGCCTGGCCTCTGGGAACAAATCCTGTATTTGATCCAACAGCCCGACCCAGTGCCTGCCTGGGAGGCTGCAGGTCCTGAAAGGCCACACAATCAGGGAAGTGTCCTGGCTAGAGGAGCTGAGCCCCTAGGTGTCCCCAGAGGCGGTGTTTATGTGACAGCGGCTGTGTGCTGGCCCTGGACGTGAGACCAGAACACTGTCAGACTCCGTGGGCCTGGGACCTATAGCTGGTAGCACAGTGAGTCACGGGGCAGCCTTTGTGGCGGGTGCCGTGAAGATGTGTCACCACACAGGGCTCTGTGCAGGAGGCCATGTAGGAGGGGCCTTGGATTGGGAAGGAGAAATGTCCCTCTGCTTCCAACAGGGTGTCAGTAAACCTACCATCAGCTGGAAATGTCCTAAATCAAAGATGCACCTAAGAGCTGGGGGCTGGTGGCTCACGTCTGTAATCCCAGCTACTCAGGAGGCAGAGATCAGGAGGACCATGGTTCAAAGCCAGCCTGAGCAAATAGTTCTTGAGACCCTATCTCGAGAAACTCTTCACAAAAAAGGGCTGGTGGAGTGGCTCGAGGTGTAGGCCCTGAGTTCAAACCCCAGCACCACCAAAAACAAAAAAGCTCCAAGGCTCTGTAACTGTCACAGTCCTCAGGTTTGCAGGACACCATACACCCTTTACCCAGAGCTAGACCCACCTATCAAAAACATGTTTTATACCTGGAAAACATGCTTTTGTGTTTACTTACTTACAGTATTATTATTACTATTATTATTATTTATTATTATTATTATTATTATTATTATTTATTATTATTATTTTGAGACAACATCTCATTATGTAACCCAGTCTGGCCTGGAACTCATGGTCCTCCTGCCTTGGCCTCCTAAGTGCTGGGATTACAGGCATGCACCACCACACCCAGCTCAAAAAACATGTTTTAAAACCATACATAGTAGGTGAAGGATGGAGGGTCTACATAATCCTTTTAGGTGACTCCCAGGTCTTGCCCCTGAATCTTTGCCCCACACAGTCATGTGACCCTTGAGACGTCCTCCCCACTGTCACCCAAGAAGGTGGACCCACTGCAGCTCCAGCCACAGAACAATGGAAGGCCTCTGGCCTTTCTGGACACTGAGCACAAGGTGCTTAGAAAATGCTAGGGGGTGGACTCCCACATTTGAAAACTGGGAAACTGAGGCATGGATGGTGACTTTCTAGGATTCCAGCCACCTGCCTGACCCCAGGACTCAGCCCACGATGGAGCTGGGGATGCCTGAGACACTTAGGCTCTGGGCAGAGGGCGTGGCCATGCTGCAGGAGGAGCTGCAGGTCCTGGGCCGGTGGCAAAGGATGATTCTGGGCAGTGACAAGTGCTCCGTTTCACTCTTGGACTGCTTTTCCTCTGGGGAAAGGCAAGCTGGCCGCCTCCTGCCACTGTCCCTGTGACGTGTACCAGCAGCCTCAGAGTGACACCTCGGGTACCCTGAGACATGGCCTGCAGTGAGGACAGGGTCCGAGGACCTTTCTTTGCCCCCAGAACACCAGGCAGTGTTTGGGGTCCGTGGACAAGAAGCAGCGAGGACCAGTCTCCGTTCCTCTGCTGCCCTGGCAAATCTCACCCTTCTAGAAGCCTCTTAAGGATTAAGTCTTCTTAGAAGGCTTTTTTTTTTTTTTTTTTTTTTTTTTTTTGCAGTACTGGGGTTTGAACTCAAGACCTACACCTTGAGCCACTCCATCAGCCCTTTTTTTCTGCTGGGTATTTTTAAGATAGGGTCTCGCAAACTATTTGCCTGGGGCTGGCTTTGAACTATGATCCTCCTGCTCTCTCTCTCCTGAGTAGCTGGGATTACAGGCATGACCACCAGGTCATCTCTTGATGAATCTCCAGAGCTGAAGCCAGGAGCAGGGCATGGTCCCATCCCACCAGACTGGCCGCCATGGCCCCTGTGGACCGCCCGACATTCTCCCCTAATCCCAGGCCCCCTTTGCAGCTGGCCTCAGATTTGGACTTCTCCATGAGATCACCGGGGACTCATCCACGCCTCCCCAGGGACTCGAATGGCAGAATTCTGGTGGCACCAACATCTCCTAAAGATGCAAGTGCACCTGCCCGCCTCCCTTCCCACTACCACACACGTACCTGGGTTAGCAACCACTCCCTCAAGACCCCCACTGGGGAGGGCAGAGCAGGACTGTGCTATCTGTGCCCAAGGCCCGGGGGTTTGTCCCCTGCCCACCTGTACCCAGGAGGATGAATCACAGCCCTGTCACCAGAACCAGGTTGGGCCAGAAGGGTCCCCAGGGGACCTCAGCTCTGATTTCAGAGAAGAATCCAGAGAATGTAGAGACCAAGGGAATTTATTAGAAAGGGAAGAGCAGTGCACACCCAGATGTGGGTTTGGCACAGAGGAGAGACAGCAAGTGTTCTCACACACCAGGTAAAACAGGCCAGGGAGTAAGTTTAGGGTGTAGCCGTGGGTGCTAGCTTGTCCTAGGGACCTGGGACATCCCAGTCATTCCTGTCACAATAGTGTTCTGACGCGATCAGCTCAGTCCAGAGATGTTAAGTCTGAAAAGATAATTCCAGGTCTGTGCAATGAAAGGTATCTGCTTTTTGTAACTTGTCACGATCCTACCTCTCAAATGAAGGGAGCAGGCAGTTGTCGTGAAACTGTGCACGCTTGATCCGAGGTGTAATAACAATAGTGACAAAGGTGGGAAGGGGAGGTCATCGTTTTACTGCCTAACATTGCTCAACGAAGGAATGTGATGCTTGAAAGAAAATGGTAGCTGGGTATAGTGACTCACGCCTGTAGTCCCAGCTACTGGGGAGGTGGAGAGCAGGATTGTGGTTCCAGATCAGCTGCAGGCAAAAAATTCACGAGACCTCATCTCAACCCATAAAAAGAGGGGCAGGGGGAGGCTGGGGGCATGGCTCAGGTGGTAGAGCACCTGCCTAGCAAGCGCAAGACCCTGAGTTCAAACCCCAGTACTGCCAAAAGAAAAACAGGTGTTTGTGCACTTTTAATCAGGTTATACATTGATACAATATTCCTGAGATTCTGGGTTCTACCTCCTCGTGTCCCTAGTCGATCCTGCCTTGTCCCACTAAGATCAGGCCCCACAGGAAGGGCTGGGCTGGTGGAGGCCACCCTCTGGGCATCAGGATTGGAACACCTCCTTGCACAGTTCCAAAGCAAAGCCCCCCCACCCTTGGGGGAGGTGGGTGTGGCACGACATAGGCTAGGATGAGACTGTGACCTTGAACCGCTCAGCTTCCCTTTCTGGGCCTCCCTGTGCTCTGTAAGATGGGGAAGGAGACAGTCGTGCATCTGTGAGCAGACAGGCAGCTGTCCACTCCATCCCTGCGGACGGACGGACTTCAGAGAAGCTAACCAGCCACGTGGCTGTCCTGTTAGAATAGCAGTGACTCCCCCTGCCCTTTGCCTGATAGTGACAAGCCAGGGTTAGGAGTGGAGGACGATGTTAAAGGTGACCCCATCCCTAGGTCAGCCGGAGCCCAGAGACTGAGCTGGTAGGGGAAGGAAGAGCAAGTAAGTGGGTACAGGTGGGAAAAGTGGGGCAGCGCAGCCCCTCAGCCCCTCCCCATCTGCTCTGCTGGCACCAGAATTAGCAGAGACCAGGAGAGGCACCTGGCACAGCTGTGGGGCTGACCCACGAGCTCCTCTTTCCAGCACTTCAGCCAGGAATTTTAATGAAGATGAAGTGAAAAGCCAGGTGTGGTGGTGCACACCTGTAATCTCAGCACTGGGGAGACTGAGGCGGGAAGAGCATGAGTTCAGGGCCAGCCCAAGCTAGCTACCTAGCAAAATTGTCTCAAAAAAAAAACAGTTCAAAGTGTAGAAGTTTCAGTTCCTCCAGGCACAGGCAAGTGTCACACAGGGCCCAGGTGGACACGACAGGGACAGACCCATGGGCACTGTCACAGAGAGCTTTCCTGGGTGGCACTGGGCTGGACCATTGCAAGGACTTTGGCTTCTACTCCAAAGGAGACATGAAGCCACTGGTGGCTCTGCCTCATAAAGAGCTTGGGGCCAGAGCTCACCCACGTGGTCCTGGTGTGTGGGCATGGAGTGGTATAATCCACCCTGTTGGAATTTTCCCAAGAAGGCGTTAGGGGTCTGCTCCAGTACAGAGGGACACTTTCTATTTCATCATTGAATATATGGAGGAGGTGGCCTCTGTCCAGTGACTCACTGCTGTCCAGGCTGCATGACTCACCTCCAGGAGAAGAGATGAGTTGAGCAGGGCATGGTGGTACACGCCTGTAATCCCAGCACTCGGGAGGGGTGGAAGCAGGAGGATCAAGAGTCCCAGGCTAGCCTGGGCTACACAGTGAGATGCTGTCTCAAAAAAAAGGTGAAGTTGGCACTGGGTGCCACCTGATGTGGTAAGCATCAAAGCACCCCAGCCCTCTGTGGTTCCCGGCTTCTCTCTCCCTACACGTCATAGAAGTGGTGAGGAGTGTCACACCACCCAGTGCAGGTCCCTTGGAATTCCAGAAGCAAGATGAGGCTTTGGTTCTGGGGGACGTCTTTCCTCTGCTGGGGAACCTCAGTCCTGATCCCCTGGGGAACAGGGAGAGCGACAGTCCTCACCTGGAGAGCAGGTGGTCAGGGAGCCTGAGATCCGCGGTCTTTGGAAGCCCAGGCCTTTTGCCTTTTCTGTGGAGCCGCCTGCCTCCCCGTCACTCACCGGCTGACCACTGGCCTAGGCTGCAGTCACCATGGCGACCAGAGCGAGGCCGGTAGAAGCTCTGATGAGACTTACTCCATGTCCTTCCTTCAGAGCCGTCTTGCCTGAGGCCAGCCCAGTGCCCTTCCCTGGCATCTCTGAGCCACCCCATCCTTGGGAACTTGACACTTCCTCCTTTCCGTGCTCAGCACAGAGCCTGGGCTTTTGAGGCCAACAGAATTTGAGCCCTGGCTCTGTTGTGTCCTATCTCAGTGGCCTTTGACAAATCACTGACCCTCTGGGGTTTCTGGAATAATCCTGGTGGGGTACACAGCAGTGGAACCCCCTCCATAGACCTGGGTCCCCTGACCCCCTCTGGACCTGGCACAGGTGGGTTCAAGCAGGTGTCCAGGGACGCACAGAGCATCCCGCAGGCAGCCTGTGGTTGGACTTGAGGCTGTATGTCATGAGGACACTGCACATGTGCAAGCCCAACCCAGGGCTCCTGGGGACTGTCTGTGCAGGACAGGGCAGAGGGACAAGTCAGCCATTTGGATTCTGGGTCTTCTCCCAGAGCTGAGTGAGCCGAAGCAGGGAGAGAAATCCCAGGATTTGCACACTGTACCCTTCCAAACTTTCCTCTACCCAGAACCCCTTTGGGAGGTCCTGGGGAACCTGGCTTGAAAACCATGTTGCAGTTACATGTAAGATGATGGTGACAGTGACAGCGCCAGATACACACAAGGATTGTGACCCATGGGAAGTCACAAAGACACCGACTCCACTTTACAACCAAGGCTCATAGATGAACTACTCCCCATGGGCTTCCTGCCCTGGCATATCACCATGTCACCTGGCCTCGTCCTCCCAGGGAAGGACCTTAGGGGCAGATCCCTTCCTGATGACAAATAAGGAAGCTGAGTCCCAAAGGGAGCTCTACAAGGCCACACAGCACAGTGAACTGGCAGCTCCGGGCCGAGAGCCTCAGTCCCTAGGCCTCTTCAGCCTGGCCTGCTCTGGGGACACCCAGGCCCCCGGCAGTCACAGGTCTGTTGTCTGTGCCTCCCCCATACAGAGCTGCCCTCCTCAGAGCACCTGAGTGTGGCAGACGCCACCTGGCTGGCTCTGAATGTGGTGTCCGGTGGTGGCAGTTTCTCCAGCTCCCAGCCCATTGGTGTGACCAAGATCGCCAAGTCAGTCATCGCTCCCCTGGCCGACCAGAACATCTCAGTGTTCATGCTGTCCACATACCAGACGGACTTCATCCTGGTGAGCCATAGCCACACGGGGCCACGCACACTCCCAGCTGCGCCCCGGGCCACACACCAGGGGGTGGGAGGGAGCTGGGGACTCAAGACCCTCATTTCCTGTCCCCAGGTGCGCGAGCGTGACCTACCCTTCGTCACCCATACCTTGTCATCAGAGTTCACCATCCTTCGGGTGGTCAATGGCGAGACAGTGGCTGCCGAGAACCTTGGTATCACCAACGGCTTCATGAAGTCCAAGATGGGTGAGCTGGGGTTAGGGGTTTTGCACAGAGACACTTCAGGAAGCTCCCAGGTACTGGAGCACCGGTTTCCACCTACCGATCATTTACGGGGCACCTGGCAGAACAAGGCACAGCAGTCCTGGTCAGACACTGCGACCAAGATCTAGCTAGCTAGGTCTAGGTGCCCATGGTGGCCACCCAGGGGCAGGGACTGGGGGCAGAAGCTGGAGCATATGGAGTGACAACAGGAGGGCATTCACGGCAGTCAGCACAGCATGTACAAAGGCCCTGGGGTCTGAAGGCAAGCGTGGAGAATGAGGCCAGCTGGAGAGCTGCTGGAGAGCCACAGGGGCCAAGAACTGGGCCAAAAGCCTGGAACTGGGCTAGCTGCCAGCTGCCCCCTCCCTGGGCCTTTCCTCACCCACCCACCCACTCAGCTCCATGCCACTCTGACACTAAGCGGACCATGTCTGTGTGCACTCTCAGTCCAGAGGCCGGTCATCCACCCGCTGTCCAGCCCCAGCAACAGATTCTGTGTCACCAGCCTGGACCCCGACACACTGCCCGCTGTCGCCACCCTCCTTATGGATGTCATGTTCTACTCTAACGGGTAAGACCCTGGGACAGAGTACGCTGCAGGGGAAGGGGGAGGCCCAGGGAGAGAGGGACCTGCCTAGGAGCCCAGTCTGAGGGGAAAGACGTCCCATGCTAGGAACTGAAAATTTTGGCAAAGCCTACATGGGCGGGTACAGGTGTGACAAAGGACACCATTCCCAGGAGCTCCAAAGGCAGCCGGAGTTTTCTCATTCAGCGGACCAAAGACTTGGTAGGCCTCCTCAGGGAGGATTCGTTAAGTTTAGGCAACGCCAAGTGCAGTAGGGGACCAGCAAGCTGGCACTGACCATAGCCCATGTCCAGACACACAGGCAAATGCAGGGCCAGAGACACCCTGTGCAGCGAGGGATATGCACAGACCAGGCCTCTGGCACTGTAAAGTGCTGTCCCTGCCTCTGTGAATGTCGCAGGATGACAAGAAATCCAAGGGCCAGACTCATGGAAGGATGAGGGCTGGGTCCAGGTCTCCCAGGCGGGGACCGTCATGCCGGGGATGACGGGCAAGTGTGGGGGGCAGGCGGCGGGACCCCACTCTTACCAGCCCATCCTCTGGCCTGCAGAGTGAAGGACCCCCTGGCTGCTGGCGACGACTGTGGTCACATCCGCTTCTTTTCCTTCTCCCTCATCGAGGGTTACATCTCCCTGGTGATGGACGTGCAGACCCAGCAGAGGTGAGCAGGGGGAAGGAGGGGACTCTCAGGCTGGGGCAGGGCTCCCACTTTGTCCCTTGTGAGCCATCCCCATTCCCCTCGTCCTGGGTACCTGGCTCCCATAGATACAGGGTGGCCCAAGGTACAAGAAAGGGATTTGAACCATGGCCCAGGGCCACTTGTCCCCAAACCCCATCCTATTACTGCTTTTCTGTCTCCACCCCAAAATGAGAGGATCACAGGCATTGATGGGGACTGAGCTCTGCCCCACCCTGGGGACAGGTTGTCCCCCCCTCTGGCCCTGCCCCAGGCCCCGCAGGAGTGCGTGGAACTAGCACAGGGGTCACAGTTAACACCAGGCCCCGACTTCCTCTCCCCCCTTGACAGGTTCCCTAGTAACTTGCTGTTCACGAGCGCATCCGGAGAACTGTGGAAGATGGTGCGAATCGGAGGACAGCCTCTGGGATTCGGTGAGCCCTGGGCCTCAACCCCCAGGTGGGGTGACTTGGGTCTGTCACGCTCAGCGCGGTGGTATGAACAGGGAGGCTAAGCTTAGGAAGGCTGAAGTTCCCATTTTGAGGGGTCCCTTGGCCAAGGGTATGACAGGCAGACACAGGCCTCCTGTTTTCCCCCAGTTCAAAAATTAATACATTGAGGCAGGCATGGTGGTACCCACCTATAATCCCAGCTACTCGAAAGGCAGAGGTAGGAAGATCTCAAGTTCAAGACCAGCCTAGGCAAAGTTAGCGAGACCCTGACTCAGTAACAAAATACGAGAGGAGAGGGCTGGAGGTGTGGTTCAAGTGAGAGAGGGCCCACCCAGCATGCAGAGGCCCTGGGTTCCACCCCTAGCATCCTTAAAAATAAAACTTAAAAAATTAGGAAGGGAAAAGAAATCACTCTTTAATTCACTGCCCAAAGGTAATGAGAATACCTCATTAATAGTAAATAAATAAATAATATTAATAGTAAATAAATAAAATGAAAACCAAACATAATGAGTGTTGAGGGTTTTTGTTAGTCTCCTTTGTATAAGTGCGGGAACTTTTTTTTTATTATTACTTTTATTTTTGCAGTACTGGGGTTTGAATTCAGGACCTTCACCTAGAGCCACTCCACCAGCCCAATTTTTTGTGATAAGGTTTTTTCAAGATGGAGAGGGGTCTCTCCAACTATTTGCCGAGGCTGGCTTTGAACCGTGATCCTCCTGATCTTTGCCTCTTGGGTAGCTGGGATTACAGGCGTTAGCCACCAGCGCCCAGCAAGTGCCAGGAACTTCTGACCATCTTCCTATAGGTCTAGGACATTCCACCACCTCACCCCCAGATCTGTCACCTTGCCCTGACATTGCCACCCTGGGAGGATCCCACAGGAGAAAACTTGTCATCAGTCTCTAAAACTCAAGTCTTGCCTCGCTCCACAGTGTCCAGACAAAAGCTTTCGGGTTTTTTGTTTGGTTGCTTGGTTTTGGTTTTTTGAGACAGGCTCTTGCAAAGTAGCCCAGGCTGGCCTGGAACTCTTGATTCTCCTGCCTCAGCCTCCTGGGTGCTGGGATTACAGGCGTGCGCCACCATGCCTGGCTCTCAAAAAAAAACAAAAAAAACTGTGGCTTGTGACATCAATTTAGAAGACTGGTGACCAGTGTTTTATAGCATGACATAGACCAGAAAGCAAAGGGCCAAAGAAACCGGGTGTATGATGCCCTGAAGATGAAGATGCTTTTCCGGCCAGTGGGTCCGAGAAGACCCCTTCATGGATGGCCATTGTGCTGAGCCCTAGAGGGCGGTAGGATGGGGTTGCTTAAGGAGATCATGGGTGCAGGGAGGCTGGGGCGCCTTTGCTGAGTCTTAGCACCCCATCTTTCTCCAGATGAGTGTGGGATCGTGGCCCAGATCTCTGAGCCCCTGGCTGCGGCTGACATCCCAGCCTACTACATCAGTACCTTCAAGTTCGACCACGCACTGGTGAGTGTCACCCCTGCCGGGCAGGGCCAGCTCGGGGCGGGGCAGGGCAGGGGCAGCAGCTGCTCAGGTCACCAACTTTTGCTTCTGGTTCACAGGTCCCGGAAGAGAATATCAGTGGTGTCATTGGTGCCCTGAAGGTCAGTCAGGCAGAGAAGCGTTAGGACTCCGCTCTCCCTGCCAACCCGGCCTGCGCCAGCCCCTTCCTGAAAATTCTTTCTGCAGTATTTCTCCACAGACTGGAAAACAGGCCTGGGGACCCCAAGAAGGGGCCTCTGGGACACTCCCATGATTGCTGACCCTCCAGGCCTGAGCCTGTGCCCTCCTCTTCCCTTCCCTGAGCCCCACCTTCCTAAGAATGAGGTACTTCCCCACCCCCAGCCATACCCCAGAAAATGGTTTCTGAGGCCCAGAGGGCCAGGGAGCAGACCCACCTTCTCATGTGGCCTCACACACAGCACGGGGCTGACACCAAAGGAAGCCAGAGCCTCTCACGGGACGACAGGGTCCATGCTCCTGGTGATGTCTTTGGGGGGCTGATGGAGCGGGGCTGAATGTGGGAACCCCCCGACCGTGAAGGCCCTGGCTGGGGGCCATGCTTGCTGGTCCCTGGCTCCATCACCTCAGGGCTGGTTCCCGCAGAGTTGAGGCCAGCAGGCTGTCATTGTGACTGGCGAGGTTCAGGCAGGAGCGCAGAGGGCCCACGTCACCCAGCACACCCCGCCTGCCAACCACAGGGCCTGTTCCCCAACTCCCAGCATGACTGCCAAGAGGGGCCCTAACCAGACCCTCCCACCATCACCACAAGCACTCACTCCTGGGGGAGGAGGGGGCCCAGAGAGCCACCAGCCTGGGAGCACCGACTCCTGTCCTATACACTTTCCCCAAACCTGACTTGGGTAGGTTGGAGCCTCAGTTTCCCCCACAGTGGGGACTTCCCGAAGCACCCTGGGCCTGGGATGTCTTAGGTCATCCCACCTCTCCAGCTGTTAACTAGACCAGCCTAGGGCTCCCCCATCATTCTCCCCTGCCCCACCTTTGGGGGATAAGTCGCCTGCCTGCCACCCACCCCGCCATCTGGGGCCATGGTGCTCCTGAGTTACTTAGCCTGGAGGCAGCTTAACTGAGCCTTAATAGAGAAAACCGTCCTTTGTTTTAGTTTTTTATTTAATGTATTTGTGCCCGGGCTGCTGTTATGGGCAGTAGTTTCTGTTTTTAGGAGATGAGGCCAATTTGAGTTCTGCCTGGAGGCCCCAAGGGTTCATTGTCACTTGGTGGCCTGTGGCTTTGAAAATGGGCGCAACTACCAAGAAGAGTCACAGAGACCTCAGCCAGGTCTTCTAAGAGAGGCTGGGCGCAGAGATCTGTCACATGGGGATTTTCGAGCACCCCAGGGCCTCCGGCCACAGTGGTTCTGTCTGGGCATCTGAGCAGTGAGGGGACCCAAGGGCCTCGGGGAAGTGGTGTAGGACGAGGGGCCTACCCATGCTCTTGCAGGTGTTTTTTTTCAGACACTGTCCCCAAGGCTAATCTAGCGAAAGGCCAGGTGAGCCTGGAGTCCCCAGGAAACCGTTCTAGACCCCTCCAAGGGCTGAGCGCCCAGCACACTAAGCAGAATCCCACATTCCTGTTTTTTAAGTCAATCATTTTGCACAAAACTGGCTGCCAACCAAATCTGGTCCCGAGTGGAGGTCGGCCACGCGGCCGGGCGATGGCCAAAGGCCCGGAGTCCACTTTCTGTCTGTGGAAGGCCTTGATTTTTCTGGGGTGCATCTATCTGTATCCCTTTTTTTTTTTTTTTTGTCTTGCTTTTTCTGGTCAGTCCTTCCCACCGTGCAAGTGTGATGGCCTCGTGTCCCCGGAATCGTGTGGCTCCCAAGATTTCCTCAGTACTGTCTGGTACACACCTATAAATACCTGTCTTATGTTGATAGAGATTCTGTAAATAGCATATATATTTGGGCAATATATATGTTAATATATTCTGTGTGCACAGGATGCAGACACAGACCCCCTCCCCCGTGTGCACAAGTGTGGGCGTGAGGACCCCTGTCGTGTCTGCTGCGTGTACACAGGCACATTTTGAGCCACCGTATATTTTTAATTCAAGTATATAGGCAATACGATGATAAGAAATCTCTCGGGCTTGATTAGAAATGGGACAAAACCAGCGCCCCCCTCCCCAGCCTTGGGACAAGTATGATCTGTGCCCCCATTTTCACAGCCAAGGTCCCTGGACACTCTTGTTTTGTTTTGAGGGGATGTTGATCTGCTGGAGGAGTAATTAGAAGTAATTTCTTGACTTTTAACACGATGGCCCCCCTCTCCAGGGTTCTCGAAAAACCGTGAACATGGATAAGTAGCCCACTCCTGCCCCCAGGGTCACCTCTTCTTGGATGGCTGCAAAACTGCCAGCTTATCTGATTTTTTTTTTTTTTTTTTTTTTTTTTTTACATACAGGCTTCTCAGGTTCTCTTTCCCAGCCTCCTCCTGGGGACTGTCCCCTCTCTGATCCAGAATGGCACCACCGTGTGTCCTGGGAGGGACCAGAGCCAGGGCTCTGCTCTGCAGCCTCCCCAGGGACCCTGTTGCTTGGTCACTGTGGTGCCCTGTTTTCCCACCCCATCCTCCTGCTTGTGTGAGGAAGCTGGGGTTCTCTTGGTGGTCTGTGTGTGTCATGGTCGTGGTGTGGTCACCACAGCTCTGGGGGGATGGGAGTGTTCCCCAGTGTTTGACTGCCCTTGTCTTTTCTGTGTGCCCCGCTGCTTTCTGGTTTGTTGGGTGTGATGGTCACTCCAGACCCCACGTGGAGGGTCGTGTGTTTCTGTGGCCTGGCCACAGAGGTGGTGGCCCTGAGATCTCACCAGCCAGCACCTGAGGCTCTCTTGGCTCTGACTTTGGGGTGTGCGGACAATGAGAAGAATGAGACTGTTCACAAGGTTGAGTTTCTCAAAGCAGAAATGGCCACCAGACAAGGCTGGCCGGCTGTGAGTGAAGTCACTTTCAGGCCACCTGGGCTGCAAGAGTGTGGCTCCTTCTGAGGGGCTATCTCTTTAGAAAAGTGCAAACAGTCCTAAACCTTACCCTCGCCCACTTGGTCCCTCTACACCACAGCCTCGTGTGTGGCCATCTTCCCCCCAGTGACAAAATCCCCTCTTTGGCTTAGCCCTTAGGGTAGGGCTCACCCCCTTCTCCCTCTACCCCCAGTCCTGGCCCAGCCAAGGTAACAGGTGTTAGCAGCTTACACTCCTTCCTTCATGGGGGGCTCAGAGCCCCCAGAGATGCAGGCAGCCCTGACCCCGTGGCCTCTCTTCCCCAAGATCCAAACCACCAGTATCCACCCCTCCCAGCAGCTGCAACAGCAGGTCCCTGGCGGGCAGGGGACAGAGTAAGTGACATGGCCACTCTAACCAGGGTGGCGCCAGCAGGAAGATTCTAAGTCTGGGGAGGCTTGTCTCCTCCAGGGTGACCGAGGGGGCTGTGGAGGACAGGAGGGAGGACTTGGACAGGTAGGAGAGGCCAGAGCACTGTTTGGTTGATGGATGACATTGAAAACTGAGCCTGCCACTTACCCTTCCTAACCACCCTGGGCCACCTTCCTGAGCTTCAAGATTGAGTGTAGGAAGCCCGGCACCGGTGGCTCACTGCTGTGATCCCAGCTTCTCAGGAGGCAGAGGTCAGAAGGATCACAGTTCGCAGTTTGAAGCCAGCCTGGGCAAATGGTGAGCACGAGTTGGTGGCCGTGATGATGGGATCCCCGGCGGCAACAAGGTTGAGCTTTGATTTTTTAGGTTTCCTGACACTGTGCTGGGGACGGGGGGGTTCGTTCTGGAGGAGAACCAGCCAAGATGGCTGATGATCCATCAGCCCCACAGGCTGCACAGGACAGGCTGAGGAGAGTGGCCTGGGGTTGCCACAGGAGGACCAGGACTTTCCCAACATCTTCCAACCTCATCCTAGCTTTTTTTTTTTCATTTTCAAACTAGAAGTGGCAAAAAGACATGCTTGACTGCTGACTGTCCCTGGAATAAGCCACAGGGTGGGTTATGGCCCCAGTGTCACCTCCAGTCATCCCCCAAAGGCTGCTTTTCTGAGGACCGGGATGGGGAGGTGGAGCCCTGGCTGGGGCAGCCAGTTGTCCCCAGGGCTGGAGGCACCAGAAGTGGCCTGGAATAGAAGCCCGAGGCCTGGGCAGCCAGCCTGGTGGGGGAGTTTGTGGAGGAGGAGAGGCTGGGAGGACTTGGGAGTCAGGGTGCTGGTGTGTGTGTGATGTGTACGTGCACAGCTCAGCTGCAGGACTTGCTCGTGATGCTCAGCAGTTAGGATCATAGGGAGCAACCTTGCCCACGTGGACAGAGGTGGCCAGGTGGGAGCACAGGGCCTGGCTCTGGGGTAGAGGAGGTGACTGCCTGGTTAGGATAACCTCACCACACTTGACAAACTGCTCCGCAGAGGGGCAGACGTGTCCCAGCGGGGGCTGTGCTCCTCAGAGGCCTGGAAGGCCATATTGCCATCCTGAAGTGCCCAGGTGCCCCAGGGGACTCTTCAAATCACCCAGTTCCTAAGACAGTATTCACAGGGAGAGGTGTTGGGGGTGGGGGTGGCTGCCCCATCATGGAGGCTCATCTTAGAAGAAGGTTCGACAACATTGGAGACCCATGTGGGAGAGCAGGAGTGAAAGGCAGGCCAAATTCAGGCCCCCTCCTCAACCCCAGGCCAAGCCCAGTGTGTTTTCCTTTCCTGTTGCCTCAGTTTACCTGTATTCAGAAAATGGTCCAAGAAGAGTTAAGTGGGGTTATCTTCAAATCAATGAGACGGACACCACCAATAAAAATCCCAGCCCCTCCATTGCTCTATGCCAAATCATGTCTGTTATCCTAAGATGGGGGAGCAGAAGAAAGGGCACAGCAGGTCCTGAGGGACCTCTACCCTGCCCAGAGCCTCTTACTGGGAAGCAGCAGGGCATTCCTGCCCACAGCCCCTGTGGCCCTTAAGTGGCACGCTGTCTGTCACCAGCACCCGTGGCACCTCCTCCGTCCCAAGGCCTGGGCGAAGGGGAGAACGGGCCGTCCTACCCCACCCCTGGGACCCTCATGCTTTCTTTGTCAAAGAAACACAAAACCCTTGAAATTCATGTACTGTATGACGAGAGAAAAAAATACCTAATGTTCCCCCCCCCCGAAAAAAGACAGTATATTTTGTACTTTGTAAAGTGTTAATTAAAACGAAGGAAAACATGGTGGTGGCTGATTTTGGTTTGGTTCTGTGTCTGTCTGATGCAGGATCACATCTCTTTCTCCACATTGTGGTCCGGGGAAGCGCAGGCCTGGCTGGAGAGGGGAGGACCACCTCCAGCTATTACTCCTTGAGTCCAGAAAGAACCGTCCAGAGCAAAAGGGGCTGTATTACTTGATGCTGTGTGACAAGTTCTCCCAACACTTACTGTCTTGCTGGGCGCCAGTGGCTCACACCTGTAATCTCAGCCACTCAGGAGGCAGAGATCAGGAGGATTGCAGTTAGAGGCCAGCCTGGGCAAATAGTTCATGACACCCTATCTTGAAAAAAAAACCATCACAAAACAGGTTTTGTGGTGGAGTGGATCTAGGTGTGGGCCCCATACTGCAAAAAATACCACACACACACAACACACACACACACACACACACACGAAGGGGGTTGAGGCTGGCTAAGAGCCTCAGATGGAGAACTCATATGTGGCGAAGCCCAGCTTAGCATCGGAATACTGAATTCTGGGTTGCCAAGCACAGATGAGAGAAGCCAAAGGAGATGTCCAGGTTCAGTTCTCAGGAGAGATGGCCTGGCTGGCTCAAGGTCATGTCTTGAGCTTTCCCAGTGCAGAGTCAGGAGTGGCAGGGCCAGTACTAGATGTACAAGGCAGATGTCCAGCCAGCACCTCAGCTGTTCCCTGACTTCCAGGAGGCTATGGTTCTTCCTGAGATGCAGTTTTGGCTGCATGATCGCACTGTGCATTCACCCATCCCAGAATCTGATTCAGCCGGTCGTGGTCTCAACACAGTTTTAAAAGCTCCTCGACTTCTCCCAAAATTTAATAGAGAAAACAAAGGAGCCAGAAGTGGTGACGCTCCAGTTAATCCCAGCTACTCAGGAGGCGGAGGTAGGAAGATGGTAGTCTGAGACCACAAGACCCTATCTGAAAGCAAACTAAAGTAAAAAGGGTGGTGGCATGGGAAGGAAGGACGGAGGGGAGGGAGAGAGGGAGGCCACTCTTGTTAGCAAAGAAAACTAGAAAAATAAAAAAAAAACCAAGCACCGAAAGAGAAAATGTGGAATGAAATCATGGCAACAATTCCACAAGGGTTTGCTGTGTGCCCCACTGAAGAAAGCGGGCCCATTAGTGGCTTTGAGGGGCTGGCTGGACGTTGAACTCTATGCTGCCCAGTGACTTACATCTCAATTTTTAAATAAAAGAGTGTGGTAGAAAAAGCGACAAATCTAGATACACAGCTTGAAGGACAGTCAAAAAATAAAAAGAGAAAGATGGGATTTTTCTGACCGCTCTTGACCACTAAAGTGCATAGAAAAGAAACAATAAGCTAGGTGTGATAACTCACACCTGTAATCCCACCTTCACAGGAGGCAGGGATTTGGAGGACCAAGGTTTGAGGCCAGCCCAGGCAAAAACTTAGGAAGACCCTGAGTTCACACCATGGTACCACCAAAAAAAAAAAAAAAAAAGTTACAGGGAAGAGCTGGGTGGTCTTCACCTTGCAATGGTGGTATTCAAGATGCTCTTCCAAGAGACACTGATCCGAACAGGAGGACATCTATCTACCAGCAGGACCCTAGCAGCCCTAGCTAGACCCTGGCCACCTCCAAATCCAGCCATTAAGGTTTGATGAGTGCTGGGCACCACGGAGTCCTAGTGCAGAGACAGACGAGATGGGGGACCACGCAACCTGTAGTCGGGAATGTTCAGTCTTGTGACACTTGAGCGTGCTCTGCATGAAATGATACCAGACAAAACTTAAGAAACTAAATGAACGACCAGCAATTCCACTCTTAGCTGATGGAGGGGGGGTAGGCTCTGCCCCAGGCCTCCATGTAAGTTTCAGCATGAGTCTAAGATTTCAGTCTTCATGAAAAACGGACATGAGAGGAGGAAGAAGAAATGAGCCAGAAGTGGTGGTTCACACCTGTAATCCCAGCACTTGGGAAGATAAAGCAGGAGGATCAAGAGTTCGAGGCCAGCCTTGGACCCTGCCTCAAAAAAAAAAAAAAAAAAAAAAAAAAACCAAGAAGCTGGGCACCAGTGGCTCACGCATGTAATCCTAGCTGATCAGGAGGATCGAAGCCAGCCCAGGCAAATAGTTCACAAGGCCGTATCTCAAAAAAAAACCCACCATCATAAAAAAAAAAAAAAGTGTGTGTGTGGGGCTGATGGAGTGATTCAAGGTGGAGCTGCTGAGTTCAAACCCCAGTACTGCTGAAGAAAAAACAAGAGAAGGGAGGAATAACTCCCATCACTGCGGGAGTGGGAGGGGGAAGAGGTGAAGGGTGAAGTGACCAGGAACACACCCATTTGTCCCGAGCCCAGGCTCAGCCAGACTGAATCTGCTGGGCTGAGTGGCACACCCCAGTGTCACACGCCTGTCAGGATTTACCAGAACTCAGTAGGTCCCTCTGTATTCAGGAGCAAGAAGAATCCCGATCAGATTCCCAGAGGCTGAGCAAAGCACAGCGCGGGCTTTGATTAGCTCATCTAAGGTTCTTCATGCCAGCAAGAGCCATCCCTTCTCAGAAATCCCGATGGAGTGGTCGCCTGCATGCCTCAAGGGCTAAGATGATGAAAGACAAAGATCCAGGCACCATGGGGACAATTCTGTGCCCTGGAGGGAATGGCAGCTGTGTGGCCAGTAACTGGACATCTGGCACCTCCCACTGGGGCTCCCAGTCCCCAAAGACGAATGCACTGAGGCCAAGTGTGGGAGTGACCAGGGATACGTGGGAGTCAGCACGGGCTCACGCCACCCAAATGCTGTTTTCACAGGAACAGAATAAATCCTAGCGAAGAGCTAATGGCACAGCACAATTTCTGTGCAGGTGACAAAGGCTGGGAGGGACAGGGAGAGGACAAATGCTGGGAACCTAGCACAGATGACAGCTGGAGGGAGGGCCTGGTGGGTGGCAGGGGAGCCCCTAGCACAGCGAGCTGCCTGATCAGGCAGACCAAGGCTAGTGTATAGAAACTGGGCTTTAACACAGACCCGAGGACACCACTTATCTTATACATACTGGTGACTCTGTCCAAGGTCAAGTTTTTGGGTTTGTTTTTCTAGGTTTTGTTTTGTTTTGTTTTGAGAAAATCTTGCTATGTAGACCAGGCTGGCTTCAAACTCACGATCCTCCTGCCTCAGCCTCACAAGTGCTGGGTTGACAGGCATGCTCCACCACGCTGGCTCCAAGGTCAAGGTCATTAGTAGATCTGTACCATGGTTGGCATTTGGTGGGAGGTTTAAAACTATTCCTAACTTCTACAGAGAACCCCCATCGCCATCATCACGGACCATCCCTGTCCTCCCATGGTGCGAGCCAGGTCTAGCCCCTGGGGTCCTAACCCTCTGCAGGGGGTAGGGGTTGGGTTACTCTTCACTGCTGTGGTCACTTCAGATGTGGGCCCAACCACAGGCTTCAGGAAGAAAATGAACTTTCTGATTTTTTTTTTTTTGGAGACAGGTCTCTAGAGCCTAGGCTGACCTTGAACTTGCAATTCGCCTGCTTCTCTTCCCCAGTGCTGGGGTTGGTTTCCCATTTCTATCCCGAGTTTGCAGTAACAATGCATAAGGATGACCCCAGGGAAATGGGGGACAGCGTCAGCCAGTAAGGCTGCCTGTGGCCCCTGCAATGGCCGGCAGCTCCCCAGATACCACTTCTGTCTCCCCACGTCCCTCACGAGCCCCCAGCACCCCCTACACCTGAGTGCTTTAGAAGTACTTTCCCTCCCTGAATGAACGTGTCACCACCTGACACGACATACTCGTACCTCAGGGGCCCCCAGTACCTGCTGACGATGGGGTACAGGAGTGGGGCACAGCAGGCACTGCGTGAGACCCCAGCTGGGGACTCGAATCTATTCAGAAAACAGTTTCCAAGCGGGACTGACTTTTACTGTGTTTTCCACTAGCTTCTATTTCCCTCTGGATCAAAGCCTTAGCTGGGAACACCTGTAATCCCAGATACTCAGGAAGCAAAGATTAGGAGGATCAGAGTTCGAGGCCAGCCCAGGTGGATAGTTTATGAGACCCTACATTGAAAAAACCCAGCCCACAAAAGGGCTGGAGGAGTGGCTCAAGTGGTAGAGCACCTGCCTAGCAAGTGTGAGGCCCTGAATTCAAACCTCAGTGCCACCAAAAAAAAAAAAAGTCTTATTTTCACAGCTAATCTCAATTTTTAAAGGACCTCTTTTGTTCTTAAAAAGGCAGAAAATAGGTTTTATTCCAAAACACATTTTTAAATACTATTTCTAAAGGGAAAGCCAAGTTTTGTTAGGAAGTCAATGATTTTCATGGTTTCTGAGCGTTCTCCAGGCTGGCTTTCCAGCCAAGCTTTGGCGGATATGTTTGGAGCCCTCAGCCCATAGGTTAGTAACCCCAAGCATCTTCCTGTGGGGACTTCCCAGCTTGTTTGAGCCTGGCAGCGAGGACAGATTCAAGGCTGGGTCTGACATGGCCCATGGGGTGACTGCTGGCACACAACTCCGTGCACACTCCCAGGCCAAGGTACTTCAGGCTGTGGGACTGTGTCCTTCCAGGGAGCAATGAGTGAGCGGCAGTGACCAGAGGTGGCTGCATGAGTCAGGTGATCAGAATGAAAGCCACAGGCTGCTGGGGGCCAGCAGGAGACGTAGCACAGCCTGTCCAAACGCAGTGTGCTGTGACAGGGGACTCCCCACCATCAGGAGGCCTGGCTGGTCCCCACACCCGGCTTCTGCTGACATGGGGGCCATCCTCAGGCGGCTCAGATGAAAGACTTGGCCAGAGTCACCATGTGATCCACGCCACACGCCACGTCCACGGGCTCACCGGGCATCGTCACCTGAAACACAAGCCCAGCACATGGTGAGAGGGACTCGCTGTGAGGCCACAGGCCTGGAGCTGATCAACCTGGCTCTCGGTCACCTGGCCTCTCTGAGTCTGGCTCCCTGTCCTGGACACGGGGATGCCCACACCTCCCACAGCTCACTGGACAATGGGCAGTGACCCAGTGGAAAGGCCATCCTAGCTCCCTGCCCACCACTGCTCACCTCCACCCAACAGGCCGCCCTGGGTAAGGGCACAGACGCTGTGTCACAGAGGCCATGCTCCCCTGAGTGTGGCCACCAGACTCCCTGCCCCATCACCACAGGGCTCCTGGAGAATAGAAGAAGCCCTCCCCGCCGGTAGGTACATATGGGAACACATCCCACAAACCTCCCTGCAGACACAGGCTGTGTTCCATGCCCTGTTGCCCTCAGGAGAGGCACTGGCTATGCCTCAGCAGACACCAAGGCCTTGCCACAGTCCTGACCATACTGCCTGGCCGGGCTGACAACCTGCCACCCAGCAGGAGGCCTCGCTCCCTTGGGCCTGGGGCCTCCCTGCCTTCCCAAGTACACTCGCTGTTCTAGAACCTTCCCTGGGGATCAATGCCTCAAACCATTCCAGGCATACCTCAGAGCCTGGCCAGTTCTCCAAGAGGGCCTGTTTTGCTTCTCTTAGGGTTTTTTTTTTTTTTTTGTCAGTTTTTGTTTGTGTTTTTGAGATGGTGTCTTGCTATGTATCCAGGCTGGTCTGGATCTCATCATGACTCAGCCTCCCAAGTGCTGGGATTACAGATGTGCACAACTAAGCCCGGCTTTCTCTTGTTTATTATGATTACAAACAGGTAGTGTAGTCCCACGACTACACTATAAAAGGTCATTCAGTGAGAATGACAGGTGTTAAATATCTCTTAATACCCCCAATGCTCTCTGCCTCGCTCCCCGCCTTCCCTGGAATTGAGAAGTTCTTTGACAGGATGCTCAGGTCCTTCCAGGGGTCCTCTTTAATCACTTTCACACACACACACACACACACACACACACACACACACACACAAATCACACACACACACACACACACACACACACACACGACAACCCGCGCAGCTCATGACTAAGGAGGAAAACAGTGGTCTATGAGCACGGAGATGGAAGGTGCTGACCCCAGAACAGCAGGGGCCACCAGACCCTTAGGGCTCCTGGTCACAGGTGGGAAGGAAGCAGGAACTGAGTCATGCTACTCTCACCTGCCTCCCCAAACAGACACCTCAGCAGAACCTGCCACAGAAACCACTGAGCAAACAGCGCTGCCCGGTGACAGCGTTCCAGGGAGGCCTGGAACACAGCAACGTGTGCCTGCAGTCACAAGAACAGATGGACTCCTGGCAACCTCTGGAGAGCACTCAGAGTGCCTCTCCTCACGCACCTGTGGCACGCAGGCACCTGAGTCCTTGTTCAAGCGCTCTGGCCATTACAGCCAGGCTCGCTCGCCCAAGGCCTCTCTGGGGGTCAACAGTAGCTCCTGAGGCTCCAGCACCCCGGCGAGCGTCCCCTCCTCCCCACCACCTCCGTTGCCTCATGAGCAGGGACCAGCTGCCCCCACCTTATTTTGGGTTTGTAACATGGCCCAGAACCCAGGATGTCCTCCTAACTAGAAAAGCCCCACTGGGGCCAGAAGGCTGCCAGAGCGACAGCTTTTCCCACACTCCTCTCCTGTGCTGTCAGACCCACTATGGCCCATGGCAATGGAGTGGGTCATACAAACAAAGAGGCCCCAAGCCCCAGCGGTGGTGACCAGAGGGACATGGGTAAAGGGGGCTCAGTCTGCAGCAGTCTGTGGGTCACAACAGGCACAGGCACTTGGGGGAGACCTCAGTTGTGGCCCTAACATCCCACAGCATCCACCTGTGCACACTGGGGCGAGAGGCCTGAGCCCAAAGGTCCCTGCCCCACTCTCCGCAAAGAATGCCCATTAACGTGGGCATCCAAATGAGAAGGGGCTTCCCGAGGACAGGGCCAGGGGTCACGCACAGCCCCACACTGCCCTCCAGGTCTGCAGGGCTCATTAGGTCACAGGGTCCTGAAAGGCATACAGCCTTCTGGAATGTTCCACATCTCTGCATTGTACCACCCTCCACAGCCAGGGACCCAGAAACTCCAGCTTCGGGCTCTCAGGAAGAGGCAGGTGACAGTGAAAAGACCATCATCGGAGAAGGTGGCACGGCTGAGAGAATCTTGGCTCTGCCTCTGACTTGGACGTGAAGCTCTGAGGAGCACAGGCCCTAGGCAAGCTTCTGGAAGGAGAGGCCCGGGCCCGCACACTATCAGAACAGCCCCTCCCTGAGCCTCTGAAGGACTGAGTGGCACCACAGTGTGTGTTACAAACGTAGGTTCCCGTTTTAACAGTTTTCTGGTACTTTTCCTTTGGTGGCACTGGGGTTTGAACTCGGGGCCTCACGCTAGGCAGGTGCTCTACCACTTGAGCCACTCCTCCAGCCCTGTTTTGTGAAGGTTTTTTTCGAGACAGGGTCTTGCAAACTATTTGCCCAGGCTGGCTTCGAACCACAATCCTCCTGATCTCTGCCTCCTGAGTACCTAGGATTACAGGCGTGAGCCACTGGCGCCCAGCACAAATTGTCATTTTTTAAGAAGTGAGTGCACAGCAGAGATGGAGTACGGTCCCAGCAGCACTGGGCAGACGTGGCCTTTGTGGGGCCTCAGGTCTCACAGCTCGCCTGGCACAGCAGGCTCAGGCCCCACACACACCAGAGACCCACATGTTGGAGCCTTGGTCCCGGGATTGGCACTACTGGAAGGCAGTGGAGCCTTTGAGAGGCAAGGCCTAAGCCCAGCATGGGTGGCTCACACCTGTAATCCCAGCTACTCAGGAGGATCGAGGTTCCAAGCCAGCCTGGGCAAATAGTTCACAAGACCCTATCTCAAAAAACCATCACAAAACAGGGCTGGGGGAGTGGCTCAAGTGACAGAGCACAAACCCTGGGACTCACGGACTGTGCAAGAGGGAAGACACAGCTGGCTCCAGGACAGACTGGTGTGCTTGGCCCCTGACGGCAGGCACATGGCAGAGAGCAGCCAGAAAGATGCCATTCCCCTCGTAGTGAGTGAGGAGTCAGAGTCAGCAGGCGCCACCTGAGTGTCCCAGGCATCAGGCTCCAGTAGCCTGGACCTACAGACCCATCACCCAGCAGGCCAGCCGTGGCTAGCCATGTCACTCCAAGTGGGAGGACATGAAGGCAGGTGGCACACCCTCATCATCACTCATGCCTATCGGGGCAGCCACATGCACTCAGACAAAAGGAGGGGGAAAGCTGCCAGGGCACAGGTGGCCCTCGTGAATGCTGACACGCACAGCAGGTGCCCTAGCTGCTTCACACCGCACAGATGACAGCCTTTCCTCCCCAGGCACACGCCACACAACCCCTAATGAGTCTCCATTTCCCATGCTTCTCCCACAGCCTCCTCTGCCCTGGGTTTTCATTTGGTTTGGTTTTTTTAAGACAGAATCTCACTATGTAGCCAGGCTGGCCTGGAACTCAAGATCCTCTTGCCTCAGCCTCTGGAGTGCCAGGATTACAGGTGTGCACCACCACCTCACACAATACATTCTGTACCATAAACAGATATCCCATATTCGGAAGGAATAAATAAAGAAGTTATTTACTGACTCAGCAAACAACACTCAAAAAAGTACAATTTAAGAAAGAACCTCTTTCCCCTTGAATCTGAAACAAGCCTCTAACTGCATCCTAGCCCTAAGCAGGGCATTTACGCCCTACCTCAGTGGTGTGGTTGAGCGACCAAAATAGGTAACAGCCCGCCTGTATGTTCGCTTACTGTGGTGCTGGGGATGGAACCCAAGGTCTTGTGCACTCAAGCTGCACCCTAGCCGGCCTGTTTCCTTTCCAGTTCACTGGAAAACACACACCACCCCATGCATGCCAACTTCCAGCACCTCCCAGTCCGAGCCTCACCCCACCAGTACTCGCTCTGGTGCCTGGCATGCCTTTGTATCCCTGTTCTTTGTGGTACTGGGGTTTGAACTCAGGGTCTACACCTAGAGCCCTTTTTTGTGATGGTTTTTTTTGAGATAGGGTCTTATGAACTATTTGCTCGCTGGCTTCAAACTGCAATCCTCCTGATCTCTGCCTCCTGAGTAGCTGGGATTACAGGTAGGAGCCACTGGTGCCCAGCCTGTGATGGCTTCTTACAGAGACTGGCACAGCTGGGTGGGCCATTCCTTCCAACCTCACACCCAACAGGCCCCAGGAATGTACAGACTCCACTGCAGGGAAGGCAGTGACCCCGCAGCCACCATTCAGGCCTCCTGAGGCTGTGGCAGTGTGTGCGAGGCAGGGGAGCAGGTCCTGTGTCCCTCGTCCTGGTCCGCGCACTCACATAGCCTTACCCTCCACGGGAAGTACTGGTCTCTCAGGTGGCCGATGCCCAGGCACCCACGCACATTCTTGCCCCACGCAAACAGCTCACCTTTGTCTGCAAAAGAAAGAAGATGGTGGGGGCTGAGCTATGCCAAGAAGGTGCCCGAGCCCAGGGCTGGTGCATCCACACATGCAGCACGGCCAGGGCTCTGCCACACAGCCACTCTGCTCATGCGCGGCCACCTGCGCCACCACCGAGGTTCTGGCAGGACAGCTGTGCCTGCCACAAACCCTGGCTACACCCGGGCTAACTGACAGTGAGAAGAACGGTGCCTCATTCCATGTTTGGCTTTCTGTATTTGGGACATGCAGTCAAGTGACAGGGACTTAGTGCCTGGGGACAGGACAGACACTGAACAGACGTGGCTCCTGTTCTCATGGGATCCCAGAACAGGGAACAAACAAATGATCAAACCAATGCACACAGGGTTACAAGACAGAAAAGGACCACCAAGGGAAAGAGGTCCCATGCCATGGTTTGAATACGGTTTGTACCCAAAATTCATGTGTTGGACACTTGGTCCCCAATGTAATGGTTCTAAGAGGTGGTAGGACCCCAACAAAGGATTAATGTTCTTCCCAAAAGACCAGGTAGGTTCCTGCAAGAGGAGGTTATTATAAATGAGTTCAGTTTCCCCACATGCTCTTGTACTTTCTGGTCCCCCATGAGCCAGTCAGTATAAACCTCTTTACTTTATCAATTTCCAGTCTCATGTATTGTGTTACAGCAACAGGACACAGACTAAGACCTCCCAGGACACAGACACCACACTGGAGCTTTAGGACCACGGGGGATGCAGCCTCTCATACCTGGCCTCCAGCTCACACTCCAAAGAAACCACAAACCAAAGAAATCAGACACAAAATCCCAGGATGAAAGAAAGACACCCACACCACAACCTCAAACCCAACACTTCTGACTTGGCCATTTTTTTGTAGGTGGGAGGATTGGACTGGGATTTGAACTCAGGGCTTCAAGTTTGTAAAGTAGGTGTTCCACTGCTTGAGCCACACCTCCAGTCCATTTTGTTCTGGTTATTTTGGAGATGGGGGTCTTGTGAACTGTCCAGGCTGGCCTTAAGCTGCGATCCTCCCAATCTCAGCCCCCCAAGTAGCTGGGATTACAGGTGTGAGTCACTGCACCTGGCCTGGCTGCTCACTTTAGTGACCCTCGAGAAGGCACACTCAGTGGGACAGACCAGGAGCTGACCCCAGTTAAGGTTGAACCTGAAGGAGCCAAGCCCTGCTGGGCCCCCTGCAGGCCATAGTCTGGTCGCTTACTGGTAAGTGCTGCAAAGTGGCTGAGTCCGCACCAGATGTGGGAAACACGGACTTCTGGGTTGAACTCCGTCACCCCGAAGAGCGTGGGTGGGATCACTTCTGGAAAAGCAGTCTCCACCAGGTTTGGCCCTTTCCCGAGAATCCCATAGCCCCAGACGAAAACATGTCCTTCTCCTGTGCTACGACAAAACAACAGTCAGTACAGCAAACTTGGGGGTGTCCTCCCTCACCAGAAGATCATGACATCCACGTGCACTTTGTGTCTTTCCTCCTTGGTTGCAAGAACATGCTGACAAGGACTTAAAATAAGACTCCTCTCACCAGGAATGGTGACTCACGCCTGCCATCTTATGTAAGAGGATCAAGATTTGAGGCCAGTCTGGACAAAAAGTTAGCAAGACCTCATGTCAACAAAAAGCCAGGCATGGTGGTTCACAATTGTAATCCCAGCTACTCAGGAGACATTAAGTCAGAGAATCACGGTCAAGGGTGACTCCAGCCAAAAGCACAAGACCCTATCCAAAAAAACCAAAGCCAAAGGGCTGTGGGCAAGGCTCAAGTGGTAGAGGCTGCTTAGCAAGCACAGGCCCTGAGTTCAAACCCCAAACCACCAAAAAAAATTTTTTGAATGAAAAGCTTCCCTGCTTAAATTCTAGCCTGTGGAGTCTTACATAGCCAGCTAGCCAATGTCAGAGCACAGACTTCCCAACTCTTCAGGGTAACCTGGGGGCCCAGTCCACACATCACCCAGAAAACCTGTGTGGTCAGAGACCCTGAGGTGGCTTCCCCTGATGGTGGCTCTGAGTGTCATACTGATGAGAAGACCGGACCACAAACACACACAATGTCTCTGGCCGGATCTTTAAAGCTACTAGATTTTTGTTGGTTTTAGTTTTTTGAGACAGTCTTGCTATGTAGCCCAAACTGGCCTTGAACCTGTGATCCTCCTGCCTCAGCCTCCTGAGGCCTGGGATTACAAGTTTGGCCACCACACCTGAGTTTTGTTTTTTTTCTGGTGCTGAGGGTAGAACTCAGGGCCCTGTGCACGCTGGGTAAGTGTTCTGCCACTGAGCTACACCAGCCCCAGCTATTAGTCTGACCCTGGGGCCGTGGTGTAGCTCAGTGGTGTCACTCTGGCTTTGACCCACAACCCCTCCCCCACAAAAACAATGAACTTTAATATTAATTGGTGACAGGGCTTTAATCCCAGGGTGTGGGTCTCATATCTAAACTCTGCCTTTTTTTTTTAATTTTATTCATATGTGCATACAATGTTTGGGTCATTTCTTCCCCCCTTCCTGTGCCCCCTCCCACTCCTCCCCTACCCCCTCGCTACCTGGTGCCTTTTATTTTCTGCCTGGCAAAGCCTAGGCTGGCGTCCTTGGCCCAGGGTGAGGGAGAAGAAAGCGGCTCACGTGTGGTTCCAGGCCCACCACAGGACGACTGAGCCGTGCTGCTGCCTATACACCTGTCACACTGTCATCTTCCCACCGGGACTTGCAAGCTCAACCCATAATCACTGACCCCCATCCAGCTGGGTCGTACCCTCGGCTGAGGTCTACACCTCCTGACCTTACTCCATGCCATCTGCCACCTGGAAGAGGTCTCACCGTTCAACACGGCACAGCCCGTCCCGCCACATGCTGCCTGCTGCACCTTGCCCAATCCTAAGAACGGCAAGTTCCGGGGAACGTTCACCTGGATCGACACAGGGTTGCAGGGTTAGGAAAACAAGGCAGCGGGAAGCACATCCTGGTCACTTGTTTATTCCACAAACACTTCCTGGACATTCAATGCACGCTGTGCACTGGGACTGGGAACCTATGTTAACCACCTCAGACTCCTTTAGATAAAGGTGGGGTGCAGACCTAAAGTACTGATCACACCCAGCTTTTATTGGTTGAGATGGGATCTTGCAACCTGTGGCCAGGGCTGGCCTCAAACCATGATCCTCCTGATGTCTGCCCCCCTGTTAGCTAGGGTTACAGACATAATAATTTTTTACAATTTTTTTTTTTAAAAAAAACAAAACAATTTTTAATTGTCTAAGCACCAGTCATGATGGCTTTTAAACCTACACTTTTTTGTGGTACTTGGATTTGAACTCAGGGCCTACACCTTGAGCCACTCCACCAGCCCTTTTTTTGTGATGGGTTTTTTTGAGATAGGGTTTCTCCAATTATTTGCCTGGGCTGGCTTCGAACCATGATCCTCCTGATCTCTGCCTCTTAAGTAGCTGAGATGACAGGCGTGAGCCATCAGCACCTGGCTGAACCTACACTTCTTTCCAGGCTCCAAGGAGATGACCAGGATGAGGCCCTTTTATGACAGGCTAGGCCTGACTAGGGCTCACACATCCCAACTTGAAGAATCTTCTGGAAAGGTCCTTAGCTTCTGTTGTTTCTAAATACCCCAACAGTAGGCAGGTGAACCAATACCTGTGTGGAGTCCGTGATAGAGGCCAGCTGTAAGTACTCAGAGTTGCCCCAACCAAAGATGCCTCCATCAGCTGACACGGCCAGGCAGCAGTCGCCGTAGGTGGCCACCTGGATGACCTTCACCCCAGCAAGGTCTCCGCCCACCTTGGTGGGTGTGCTGGTGATGTTGTAATGACCCAGGCCTGGCACGGTGGAGACACAGACTTTTAATTACTTGCTCTTACTATCAATCAGAAATCCTCACCTGTTCCTCTGTAGCTCACACACCGTCCTCCTCTGTGTTCTCAGAGGAGGAAAATGGACATAACTAAATTGGTGTGTTTTTTTTTTTTTAATTCGGTACTGGGGCTTAAACTCAGGACCTACACCTTGAGGAGCTCTACCAGCCCTTTTTTGCATTAGGTATTTTCGAGATAGGGTCTCACGAACCATTTGCCTGGGCTGGCTTCAAACCCCAATCCTCCTGATCTCTGCCTCCTGAGTAGCTGGGATTACAGGCGTGAACACCAGCACCTGGCTCCATTGCAAATTTATAGGTGTAAATCAAGTCAGAAAACTACAAGATGAAACAGCACTAGGATGAACCTATTAGGCTTTTCATAAATTACAAGCAATATTTTTTCTTCTTTGTTTTTGTGTTTTTTAGTTCTGGGATGAAACCCAGGGCCTTGCAGACACTAGGCAAGCACTGTACTACTGAATATATCCGAAGCCCTACAGGAAGCAATTTTTAATGCAGTGTTGGGCTGGCTAGAAAATAAAGGAGCCAGCATGGTGGCATACACCTGTTGTCCTTGAGGGAGGACACCACTTGAACCCAGGCATTGCAGGCCAGCCTCAGCAATACAGAAAGACATTATCTCAAGACACCACCCCCATAAAACTGGTGAGGTTGATGGTAAGCAGAGAAAAAGGCAGGATTTGGCTTAAGGACAAAGGTTGCTATCTGGACTGCAGCAGGGGGTCATGGTTGGGCAGCTGACCAAAGAGGAACACTGAGTCTCACACCCCTGCTTTAAACCAGGCTCTCAGAGCAGCCAAGGCAGTGGCAGGTAGCCAACCCCCTCAGCACCAGGCAAAAGCAAACCCTAACACCAAAAAAAACTAGATAGCATTTGTTGCCCTCAATGCAGAGAAACTAATGCAGATACTTTAAAGTGACAAAGGCCAATAGGAGAAGGGGACCAGGAACTAGAGAAAAGGTTAGTTCGAGAAGAATTAATTTAGAAGGTAACACACATGTACCGGAAAGCAATACAAGTCAACTCCCTGTATCCTTATCTCAACTAGCAAAAACCCTTGTTCCTTCCTATTATTGCTTATACTCTCTCTTCAACAAAATTAGAGATAAGGGCAAAATAGTTTCTGCCTGATAGCAAGGGGGTATGGGGTGAGGAGAAGGGGGTAGAAATGACCCACACAAATATTGTATGCACATATGAATAAAAGAAAAAAAAAAAAAAAGCAAACCCTAAGCCAGGCACTGATGGCTCATGCCGGTAATCCCAGCTACTCAGAAGGCAGAGATCAGAAGGATCGAGGTTTGAAGCCAGCCTGGGCAAACAGTTCAGGAAACCCTATCTTGAAAAAAAAAAAACTATCACATAAAAAAGGGCTGGTGGAGTAGCTCAAAGGTGTAGTCCCTGAGTTCAAACTCTAGTATCGCAAAAAAATTTAAAAAAAAGCAAACCCCAATCTCAGAGGAGAAGTCTCCTACTTAGGTACTCAAGGTTCCAAGAAATTAAACTCTGTGAAAGATGAGCTCACAGTCCAAACTCGCTGAGCACAGGAGGAACACACACGCACCCCTTGCAAGACAGCAGAACTGAGAGGGGTGAGTGGACTGGTAGAGTGGCTAAATAGCAGAGTCCCTGCCTAGCAAGCATGAGACCCTGAGTTCAAACCCTAGTACTACCAAAAAAAACAAAAAGAAAGAGGGGTGAGCCACTGCCCCTCCAGGCTCAGACCTGGTGACGGATGAGGGGCTCAGAGGGTGAGGGGAACAGAAAGGGATGCCAAAGGCAGTGTTCCTGTAAGTGATGAGAAGAGCCAAACCAAGGAAGCTGGGTTCCAGACCATGACCCCTACAGTGCGTAGCTCCATGTGATGGGCTGGGTGCATCCAAGGGGTGGCAAGCACACTACCTGTCTGGCCGTCAGCCCCCCATCCGCAGGAGTGCACTTCGCCTTTATCTGTGAGGAACAGACTGTGATCCTGACCACAGGCAACCTGGCAAACAGACAGAGGCGAGCAGGTGAGGTAAGTCCTGTCCCACCCCTTGGAGCCAAAGCAGCAGGGACTGAACCCAGGAGGCCGGATGCTGCCTAGGCCGCCTGTGTGTCTCATTCTCCCTGAAGGCTCCGGCCTAGCCTTTGTCACCTGATCCATTCAGACTGCTCTTGGTAAAGTCAAGTGTAGGTGTCCAAAGGAGCAACCCAAAGCTCTTCTGTCCCCCTGCCCACATGACACCTGCCCCCCCAACCTCCGTCCCCCGCCAGCCTCCAGTCTTGGCTGTGAGCTCAGTCTCTTCTTCGGCCCCTTCAATGCCAGAGAATTGCCCCACAGTCCCCTCCTCTTGTCCCTTCCCTAGGAGACGCCTCGACTCGCCAAGCCCGCCTGCCCCTCTACACCGTCTCCATCAACAAGAGCAGTGAGTGCTGGACTTCCTGAGTTCACTAACTGCCCCTCGAAAAGTAGCAATCATGGAACATTCTTCAACAGGGTACCATACTGAATCAACAGCCAAGGCCAAGTTGAAAGGGACTCACAGAAGTCTGCCAACTTACCCAGTGAAGGAGAGGGAACTTGAACTTGCATCGCTCGACTTTGAGGCCTGGGTGAGAAGCCCTGTCCTTTCCACTGCCTCATTTCCAGATTCCCCCTCCAGCTCCTCTCGCTTCCCTCTGCCCAAGTCAGACCCGTTACCCTCATTCCACCATCTGGGCTCAGAACATCAGCATATGGAGTCACAGCCTTCTAGCTCCCTCAGCCCCAATCCCTTCTGTCCATCCGTTCTCCTCTCCACAAGTCTACTCCACCTGCGCCTTCTCTTTTTTCCCTACACCGTGAGCCACTCCACTAACGCTTTTTTGTGATGGGTTTTTTCAAGATCAAGTCTCACAAACTATTTGCCCAGGCTGGCTTCAAACCATGATCCTCCTGTTCTCTGCCTTCTCTGTAGCTAGGATTACAGACATGAGCCACCACTGCCCAGCTAACCTGCCCCTTCTCTCCAAAGATGCCTAACGGGACTTCATCACCTACTCCCCAATACCACAACCAACACCATCTTTCTAAATGGAGTGTCACTTAACCCTGCTTACTACTTTTTATTTGGTGGTGCTGGGAACTGAACCAGGACCTGGTGCGTGCTGAGTGATGGCTTCACCACTGAGCTGCACCCGGGGAGAACCATCAGGAAACTCCTCAGCTAGATACATGAGCCCTTGGCCTCTAGGTGGCTTTCCATACTGCCCCAAGCAGATTGACCTCCAGTCACACAGAACACTAGTGATGGGTTAAAGCCTGTGGCAGCTGGGAATCAATGGCTTATGCCTGTAATCCCAGCTGATCAGGAGGGTTTGAAGCCAGCCCCAGGCAAATAGTTCATGAGACCTGAGCTCAAAAAAACTTATCACCAAAAAAGAGCTGGTGGAGTGGCTCATGGTGAAGGCCCTGAGTTCAAATCCCAGTACCATCAAAAAAAAAGAAGACTTCTAAGAAGGTTTAAGTCCTTAAGGCTTCCTGAAGGGTGAGATTTGCCAGGGCAGTGAAAGCCTCTCTATCACCATCCCTGGTCTGACCAGGAAATCACTGAACCCCTATGCCTCCTGCAGCAGGCCCTCCCTCCCTCCCTCTCTCCAGCTCCTGGCAGACTCAGTAGCCCCCGCTAGGGACTCCCCAGCACTGCCTGTAAACACCTGCATGTTTATTTAAGTAGACATTATAAATACCCACTGTGTGCCAGGCACTGCCCACAAAGGAAAATAAGGTGGTAAGCCAGACACAGCCAGCCTGGAACACAGTGGCACTAACCAGGCTGTAACGCAGCCTGTCTACCTACTGGGACATCACCTGCCCTCCCCACCCCCAATCTTATCCAATTCTGTAGTCCTAGGATCTGGCATTGATTCAAAAATGATCCAAACATTTTTACACTAAATTAATAATTCAGAAAATCCCCCTAACAAATCTGCTACCCCCCCCCACAGCTTTCAATCTTTCAAAAGCACCGTGGAGAGAGGACAATCGAGTCTCAGCCCACATCTCTTACCTGGACCACCTTTCCATCGAAATCCTGCATCCTGTGGACCTTGTGACTTTCGCTACCAGAAACCAAGAGAGCAGAGGCAAGAGACCAGGTCAGGAGCAGTGTGCAACCAGGCCCTGCCCTCATCTCTCCCGCTGCTGGTGGTCCCCATATGCACACAGTAACACTCAGAGCACCTCCCAAGGTCAAATGCAAGGCATGAAAATAAAACAAAACAAAACAAAACACAAAGTGGTTTTTATATGTACTTGAGGCCAGAATGAGAGGAAATGTTTTTCAGGGAGGTTTTTGATAGTATTAGGGTCACCCTTTTTGCACAGGCCAGCTTGGCCCACGACCCTCCTATTTTAAGCTGCCTGTTGCTGGGGTGATAGGCGTGCACCACCATGCCCAGGTTTTTCCATTGAGATGGGGTCTAGATTGGCCTCAAATCACAATCCTCCTGATCTCAGCCTCTCAAGGAAGCTAGGATTACAGGTGTGAGTTACTGGCTTAGAGAGAAATTTTTTAAACACCAAAATGAAAAGACGGAAATGAAGGGGAGTTTTTTTTTTAAATTAATCAACTTGATAAAATAAACAAAACTTCCAAAATTAATTCACACATTACAAGCACTACTCCTCCGCCCTCCCCTCCCACCAAGCTAACATACGGGGCTCACCAGAAACACAGCAGCCCTGCCTAGGACCCTGCACCAAGCTCCAGGCTTCCTCACCTGCTTCAGGAACCCGGCCTATCACTCTTCAGCCTGTCCATCACACAGAAGCCTTAGTGTTTCCCTGACCTGGAGGAGGAGGTCCTGGAAACTCACCTGTAAACTTCACTCTGCACCACCTTCCGGCCACACTGCCCGTACGAATTGTTCCCCATACTAAAGACTAAAGAACAGACCGTGTCACATCAGCTGCGCTGTCACATTTGCAGGATCCCTGCAGGTCAGGACTGGGAAGGGGCAGAGAAGGGGGGGGCGGGGAGGCAGGCTCCCAGCGGTTCTGGCCCAGTCGCTCACCACATCCCAGCCTTTGCCTCTGCCTCCAGGGAATCCCACACTCTGAGGCCAGTACCCCACTCCCTGTCCCTGTCACTAGATTGTCTGTGACACCAAATCCCCTCTTTAAAAAGTTCCTAAATGCACCTTTGCCTTTTCCTGTTGAATACACTTAGCCAGAAAATGATGTGAAAATTGCCACCACCTTGGCCTCTTCCTGAAACAAGCCCACATGGGGAGGGGCACATGGCACAGGGGCCTGGCACCCAGGAGCCCCTGCCCCGGGGAAGAAGCACTTTTAAGTGCCTGTAACTTTCCACGCACACAGAGGACAGGGCATGGGAGAGGGAACAGGGTCTTCCATGCCACAATCCCACTGAGCCCCAGAAAGGCCACGCTCACCGATTAATCAGATGGGGCTGAAACTCACCCCGTGACCACACCCACAGGTGAGCAAGTCCACTCACCACCTTCGCCATCCGTCAGCACCAGGGAGTGCGCCCGGCCACAGGACACCTGCAGCACCCGTGTCTCCTGAGGTCTGTCCAGGGGCAGCGGGACAGGTGAGGGCTCCAACACGTACTCATAGCCCCTGGCTGGAGACAGTGGCAGGGTCACAGGGCAGCACACTGACTGAGTGTCACAGCATCAAATCATCCTCCCCAGCCCCACTGTAATGCAGCAAAAATCAGAGATCACCATGGCAGACTCGAGGCTCGTGGGTGAGAGGCACAGTCAGGACCAGGAGCCCAAGTCTGGGGGCACAGCCACATGGCCAACACCACATAAAGACAGAAAGTGGGTTTAACGAATGGCACATTTAGCTCTTTTTTTTTTTAATTTTTGTGACCCTTTCTTTTTTTTTCTTTAATTAGTGTATATTAATTGTACAAATGGGTTTCTTTGTAATTTTTTTTTTTTTTGGCTGTACTGCAATTTGAACTCAGGGCCTACACCTTGAGCCATTCCACCAGCTCTTCTTTGGTGTGATGTGTTTTTTTCAGATAGGGTCTCGTGAACTATCTGCCCAGGCTGGCTTTGAACCTCGATCCTCCTGATCTCTGCCTTCTGAGTAGCTGGGATTACAGGCGTGAGCCACCGGCACCCAGTGGGTATCCTAACACTTAGTGTTAAAGAAATCACTTGGGCTGGGACGGCACTCAGAAGCACAGCACTTACCTACTGTGCACAGGGTTCCATCTGTCACCCATCACCCAGCACTTTTGTGAGGCAGGGTCTCACAAAATGCAGCAAAAATCAGAGATCACCATGTGTGTAACCCAGGGGGGCCTGGAACTTGTGATCCTCCTGCCTCACCCTCCCATGCACTAGGACTGAGACTACAGGCTTACAGGCATGAGCCACTACTCCCACCCAAAAAGAAATCTTTTTACACGTCAATGACTACTGTTTAAGTTTTTAAGGAAGTAAAAGCACTTTCCTTCTGCAATACCCACTAAAAATTCTTGAGGGACCCTGTCTCAGAAAGAGAGAAATGTTTCTTTTTAATTTTTTTTTTTTTTTGTGGTACTGGGGCTTAAACTCAGGGCCTTCACCTTGAGCCACTCTACCAGCCCTATTTTTGTGAAACGTTTTTGGAGATAGGGTCTTGGGAGCTTTTTTTGCCCAGGCTGGCTTTGAACCTCGATCCTCCTGATCTCTCCCTCCTAAGTAAGTAGGATTATAGGCGTGAGCCACCAGCGCTTATTGTTCTTATAATATTGTCTGGCTAGCATCTACTGACTTTTTAAAATATCATTCTATGTAGGAGGGTGAGTATGGTGCAAATACCATGTACACATGTATGTAAATGGAAAAATGGTATCTGCTGAAACTGTTCCAGGAATAGGGGTGGGGGGGGGTGAAGGAGAGTGGTAGAAGGTGTGAATTCAAGCACGGTGCGTTTGATATATAGTAAGGACTTTTGTAAATGCCACCACCCAGCACAACAATGAAAAGAAATAACAAAAAAATAAAAAAAAATGTCATTATAAATTATTTCTAAGATTTTTACAATTCAAGTTTGAAGCATATGGAATAAAGCCTTCATTTTAAGGATTTCATTAAAAATTTTCCCCAGACCATATTCTAGTCACTACAGAATGTTGGGTCAAATGGGAACATCGTTACTTATCGGCAAAGAGCAGGTAACTTGTCCTTCTCCCTGAAGGCTCAATCTCCTTACCAAAGAGGCAGAAAAATAATCTAGTCCACATGGCTGAAAACATCCCTTCAAGACTCCAGCCGAGAGAGGGGGTGGGGGGGAAGGGAGGGGGAAGGGAGTAGGCGGGAGAAATGACCCAAACATTGTATGCACGTATGAATAAACAACAACAAAAAAGACTCCAGCCAGGTGTGGTGGTGCGCATCTTTAATCCCAGCACTCAGAAGGCTGAGGCAGCAGGATCAAGTTCAAGGACAGCCTGAGCAAATGTGTCATTGGTTTAGGGGACACTGCCCGACCCGCTGCAGCAGAGAAGCCAGGGTGAGGATGCTTACTCACTTTTATCCTTCCGACTCCTGTGGAACCCAAGCTGAGAGTCTTTGTTGAGTCCCATCCCCCAAACTTTGGTGACATCCTTGGTGTTTGAGGACAGCAGCGTGAATCCATAGCCACAGGCCGCAGAGGAAATCTGAAAAAAGGTTTGCAGGAAGCATTAACCGACTGGTGAGGCCCAGCCTCCCCAGCACAAAAGGCAGGTTACCAACCACACCACACAGTTTACTAGCAACTGAGCATTCACTGTGTGTCAAGGGACCTTCGCCCTCACCCTACCGACTCGCATTGTCACCCCACCCACCCCAGCACGGCCAAGCGCAGCAGCTCACACTGCTTGGCTTGACTCCTGGCCGCTGTGTGGCCTGAGGCAGGTGCACTATCTCTCTGGCTGTTTCTCTAGCATCCTTCTCACTGACTGTTGTGAAGAAGGACCGAGTTGAGACATCAGAAGCCACCCAGTGAACAGCACCTGGGGTGGTGGGAGAGTCACTTGAGTACTTACTATCACAGGAGCAGCGTTGGGTAGTTGGGTAGATGACAAAGCCAGGGGTGGCCCTTAACCCCAGGCTATGCTATCACACCTCAAACCACGGGCCTTGCAGAGATGGTGGCGTTCCAGCCACTGTGAATTTGACACATCATAGGTGCCAAGGTATTTGGGGTTTCACCCAAATTGTCACCAACACTCACCTTCATGACCAGGTGAGGGACTCAACTTCCAGAGCAGCTAGAAGCAAGCCAAGGTGGTTTGATTTTAAAATCAGCCCTCTTTCCACACTCCCCACTGTGCCCATGTTCCCAGCTGGCTTGGGCAGTCCTGGTTTATACCTGATGTCCCAACGTCCACTCTCAAATAAACAGGGTGATGAATTATAGGAAGCTCACCGTAATGACCCCACTATCTCTCAGCTGTTTACGTTTTATCAGAGGCCTTGTAAGCTCTCTGAGATGTCACACAAATCAAACCAAATCCAGATAAAAATGCCAGCACACCAAGCATCACAAACAAACAGGAGTAACCGTTTTGATTATGGCATGTATCAAAGAAAGCTAGAGAAATGTCTGTAAAATTGGATTTGTTGGGGCAGGGTTCAGTGGTTCATCCCTGTAATCCCAGCTAGCTGGGAGACAGAAATAGGAAGGTTGTGGTTAGAGGCCAGCCCCGGGAAAAAGCATGGGACTGTCTCTGGAAAAATAACTAAAAGCAAAAAGGACTGGACGAGTGCCTAAGTGACACATCACCTCCCTAGCAAGTGTGAGGCCCTGGGTTAAACCCCAGTACTACAATAAATAAATAAATAGCTGGGCACCAGTGGTTCACGCCTGTAATCCCAGCTACTCAGGAGGCAAAGATCAGGAAAATCAGCCCAGGCAAACAGTCTGTGAGACCCTATCTCAAAAATCCCCATCACCAAAAAAACAGCTGGTAGAATGGCTCAAGGTGTAGGCCCTGAGTTCAAACCCCAGTATTGCAAAATAAATAAATAAAATAAAATAAATAAGTGATAGATAAATAAAAATGTTTAAATGGATTTATTGATACTTTGTTTAATGAAGTCATCCAAAAGGAAGGTATCCCTCCTTTTGACCTCGTGATATTTTCTCTGCTAAGATTCACATGGAACACAGACACCCACACCCTGTGCAAGTCAAAACGCCTCTCTGGCCTCCTAGAGTCCCCACCCACACCTCTGAATGGCCCCAGCCCCCCAGAACCGACCTACGACCTACGTGGGAGGCTGGAGCCAGCCCGGCCACACAGCAGGAAGCACAGATGAGAAGAAGGTCTATACCGATGCTCAGCACACTCGGGTTTTCTCGCTGCAAGGTGATGCGTGTTTATTTAAGTCAATAAATATTTGACAGACACATGCTGTGTCATTAGATCTGTTAATATGTGAATGGCAGCGTCAGTGTAAGTGGGGCCTGTGAGGATACGGTGCCAGAAGGGGACTTTAGCCACAGTGGCTGGCCAGCTCTCCCCACAGAGCAAGAAAAAAACAGGACACAACTGTATAAAAGTAGAATGAAATAGAAAATAATAAAACAGAACAGGGGCTTAAGCTGTGGTTCAAGTGGTAGAAATGCCTGCCAAGCAAGCATAAGACCCTGAGTTCAAACCCGAGTATTGCCTAAATAAATAAATAAACAAAATAAAAATAGAATAGACTAGGATAGAGTAAGGGACTGGAGTCTAGCTCGGTGACAGAGTGCCTGCCTAGCACGCATGAGGCCCTAGGTTCCATCTCAATGCCATAAAAAATAAATAAATAAAATAAAATAAAAAGCTGACCAGGCTTGGGTTCTGAAAACAAATCAAAGAGAAATAAACAGAGATGTTGACTCAGGAAAAACTGCTGGCACCTCAGGCCTGAACAGCAGGACTCCGCAGACCTCTCGTCCTGACCTGTTCCAGCTAGCCCAGCTCGGTCAGCAGGGACAGTCCCCAAGGGCTGTGCTGACGTGCAAACCGTTATGTGGCTGCCAGGCAGGACGGATCTGTGGTGTATGCTGAAAATTCATGGCAAACATCCAACTCAGTAAGAAACAAACAAAGAGAAGCCATCCTGATGAGGGCACCAGGAGAGGTGGACCAACTGGACATTTAACAGGAAGGCTGGGACATGGCTTAAGTGGTAGAGTGCCTGCCTTGCAAGCACAAGGTCCTGAGTTCAAAGCCCAGTACCACCAAAAAAACAAAGAAGAAAGGAAGGAAGGGAGGGAGGAAGGAAATTTAATAGGAAGAACAAGCACAGAGGCTCTGCACACACCCATGACTACCTCAGAAACTACACAAGTGAAATGAGGCACTTTAGCTCCATCGGGAAGTCAGAGCAGAGGCAGACTTGTGACTCTGAATGTGGTTACCAACCTGCACACACACAGCAGTGATGAAAGGTAGGAGCCTTATAAGCTGGAGGAAGGCATAGGTCAGAGGAACGTGGTCCCAGGTTAGCCTGGGCAAAAAAAAAAAAAGCAAGGCCCTAGCTGAAAACTAACCTAAAGTAAGAAGGGTTGAGAATGTGGCTTGAGTGGTAGAGTGCCTGCATAGCAAGTGCAAAGCCCTGAGTTCAAACCCAGTACTGTCAAAACACATTAACAAAACCAAAAAGGAACAGGGCAAAAAGTCTGGATTTGACCACTTCTATTCAACACTGTACTGGAGGTTCCATCCAATGCAATAAGGCATGAAAAAGAAATAAGAAGCACCCAACTGCAAATGAAGATATAAAATTGTCTCTATCCACAGGCAACCAGACAATGTGACCCTATATATAGAAAATGCCACCAGGTGCCGGTGGCTCATGCCTGTAATCTTAGCTACTCAGGAGGCAGAGATCAGGAGGATCATGGCTCAAAGTCAGTCTGGGCAAATAGTTCACAAGACCTTAAACCATATCACAAAACTAGGGCTGGTGGAGTGGCTCAAGGTGAAGGCCATGAGTTCAAGCCCCAGTACCACAAAAAAAAAAAAAAAAAAATCCAAGAAATACACAAAAATCTACTGAACTAGTAAGTTCAGCAACATCACAAAATAGAAAAGATACAAAAAACAACCATAGGGCTGAAGGTGTAGCTCAGTGACTGAGCACTTGCCCAGCATGTGTGAAACCCTAGGTTCAAACCCCAGCACTACAAAACACCAACAAACTGTTATTTCTATATACTAGCAATAAATATTCCAAAAATGAAACTAAGCATACCACTTATAACTGCACCAAAAAATTGTTTAGTAAATTTAACAAAAGATATGCAAGACTTATACACAGAAAATTATGGAGCAGAGTTGAGAAAAAAATAAAGACCTAACTAAATGGGGAGACAGCCCATGTTCACAGATTAGAAGACGCAAAATTGATGAGGTGGCAATTCCGCCCAAATCCACCCACAGATTCAACATCACCCCCATCAAAACATAAGTATTTCTACAGAAACTGATAAGCCAATCCAAAAAGTAATATGGAAAATAAAGGACTAAAATAGATAAAATATTTTTTATAAAAAAAGAAGAATGAATTTGGAGGACTATACTTCTCAATTCCAAAACTTACTTACTATAAAGCCAGCCAGGCAAAAAAAAAAAGAAAGAAAGAAAGTTAGTGAGACCCCCAACTCAATCAATAAGCCAGGCATGGTGGTACACTTCTGTGATCCCTATGGGGGAGGCATTAAGCAAAGGATCTCAGTCTGAGGCCAGCCTATGGTAAAAATGCAAATCTTACCAGAAAAATAATTACAGCACCCAGGTGCCGGTGGCTCACATCTGTAATCCCACCCACTCAGGAGGCAGAGATCAGGAGGATCACAGTTTGAAGTCAGCCTGGACAAATAGTTCATAAGACCCTATCTTGAAAATATCCAAGACACAAAAGGGCTGGTGGGGTGGCTCAAGGTGAAGGCCCTGAGTTCAAACCCCAGTACTGCAAAAAAAAAAAAAAGTTACAGTGATCAAGATAGTGTCATTTTGACATAAGGACAAGCATATCAACCCATGGAACAGAATTGGCAGTTCAGAAATAAACCTTACATTTACAGTCAACTAATTTTTCACAAAGATGAATGATAAAGAAAGAATTTAGTCTTTTCAACTAAGGATGCTAGTACAACCTTTTATCTACATACAAAAAGATGAACTTAGATCCTTACCTCACACCATATACAAAAATCAACCCAAAATGGTTCGTAGATTTAAATATAAAACTATGAAGATTCTATAAGAAAATACTTGGGTTAGGCAAAGATTTTTTTTAGAGATGATAATAAAAGCACAATCCCTGGCACAAAATCTAATGAACCAAATTTCATCAAAATCTGAAACTCTGGGCGTGTTGGTGTGGCTCAATGGTGGACTCCTTACCTATAAGCAGGAGGCCCTGGGTTCAATCCCCAACACCATAAATTAATAGTGAAAATGATAATGATAATAATAAAAATTTAAACTTTTGCTCTTCAATAGACACTATTAAGAAAATAAGCCAGGTATGGAGGTTTAAACCTGTAATCCTAGCTACCTAGGAGGCAGAGACTGGAAGAATCAGGAGTATCACAGTTTGAGGTCATCCCAGGAAAAGACCACAAGACTCCATCTCAACCAAGGGCTGGGCACAGTACCGCATGCCTGTCATCCCAGCTACTGTGGGAAGCACAAATTAGGAGAATCATGGTCCAGGCTGGCCCAGACACAACACAAAATCCTATCACAAAAATAACCAATCCAAAAAGGGCTGGAGGTGAGGTTCAAGTGGTAGAGCACCTGCCTAAGCAAGCTCAAGACAGTGAGTTCAACACCCAGTAACCAGGAAACTGAAAAAAAAAGTGAGCTTCTAAGCACTTTGGCTTCCAAAGCACCTTGGGACAGATGTTCTTGCTGATAACCCTTTAAAATCTGAGCAAGACCTGGCCCAGGTTGTTGAAGAAGCCACAGGGGTTCCACTGCCTTTTCAGAAGCTCATATTTAAGGGAAAATCTCTGAAGGAAATGGAGACGCCTTTGTCAGCACTTGGAATACAAAATGGTTGCCGGCTTATGTTAATTGGGGAAAAGAACAATCCAGAGGAAGAGGTTGAACTAAAGAAGCTGAAAGATTTGGAGAAGTCTGTGAAGAAGGTTGCTGACCACCTAGAAGAACTGACTAAAGAACTTACTGGAATCCAGCAGGGTTTTCTGGCTAAGGAGTTGCAAGCTGAAGCTCTCTGCAAACTTGATAGGAGAGTGAAGGGTACAATTGAGCAGTTTATGAAGATCTTAGAGGAGATTGACACAATGATCCTACCAGAAAATTTCAAGGACAGTAGGTTAAAAAGAAAAGGCTTGGTGAAAAAGGTTCAGGCATTCCTATCTGAGTGTGACACAGTGGAGCAGAACATCTGCCAGGAGACTGAGCGGCTGCAGTCTACAAATTTGGCCCTTGCTGAGTGAGGTGCATTGGAGGCTCTGCTCTCTACCAGTTCAGCTGAATTGCAGCACCACAGCCCTGCCCTCTCTGGAACAGAAGTTGCCTATTTCTCTAAGCCACCAGAAGCAACTAGCCAATTGCCAATTTTCTTACTCCTACACCAGTTCTCAATGAAAAAGTACTGTCTTTGCAACCTTAAAAAAAAAAAAAAAAAATCTGAGCTCACTAAGAGGCGTCATACAACCATTTTCCATGCTCACACCTCCCTCCCTCTTCCTTTCTCTATTTTTTTTTTGGTGGGGGGTGTACTGAGACTAGGGTTGAACTCAGGGTCTACACCTTGAGCCACTACCACCAGCCAGTTTTTGTGAAGAGCTTTTCAAGATTGGGTCTCTTGAACTATTTGCCTGGGCTGGCTTTGAACTACATTCCTCCTCCTGAGTAGCTGGGATTACAGGCATGAGTCACCCATGCCAGCCTCTTCCTCCCTCTTGGTCCTATAGCTGCTCAGGCTGAATCTCCTTTCCCAGTGGCTGATCACTCATCCACAGAGCCCACATTTTCTCTGACCTCTTGAATTTTCCCTCCTCTCACATAAGAACCTGCGGCTCACTTGTAGTGCTGGTGGCTCACACCTGTAATCCTAGCTACTTGGGAGACTGAGATCAGGAGGCTCAAAGTTCAAGGAGACCACCATCTCCAAAATGACCAGAGCAAAATGGACTAGAGGTGTGGTTCAAGCAGTAGAGCACTTGCTTAGCAAGTGTGAAGCCCTGAGTTCAAACTCTAGTCCCACCAAAAAAGAAAAAAAAGTCTATTTTTTAAAAACTTGTGGATTCAGACAGAACGGGGTTCGAATCCTACCTAACCTACACCCGGGGCCTTCACCTTTCTGTGACTCCCTTTTGTCCCCTGTAACTAGGGGTGCCCACCACCGACTCCAGAGGTGCTGAGCAAATGCCTCAGGCCAGGAACAACACCTGGCACGGTGCTGTAACCCCACAGACGTTAACAGACATCCCTGATGCCTCCCATCCTCCCATCTTGCAACCCGCATCGCCCACTTCCGGAAGCATGGCGCATGCGCGGGGGTGCGGGGCGAGCAGGGAAGGGGAGGGGAGAGCCACGGCCCGCACCTTCTGGCCCATCTCTAGGCGGTAGGGCACCGGCTGGATCCTGCGGAGCGGCTGCCCCGAGTCCGGCAGCACGAAGGTGGGGACGCCCAGCGCCCCCGAGAAGCTGAAGCCCCACACAAAGACGCGGTCGCAGCGGGCCGCGCGCTCGCCCACGTACTGGAACACGGGCGCGTCCTCCTCGGCCTCTGCTGCCTCGCGCCGGCTCCGCGACCGTCCAGCCGGCGTCCAGTGCTCGCGAACCGGCCCCAGCCACCTTAGCCGCCGCCCCAGCCGAGCCACCGTCGGTAGCGTCGCCATGCTCCGCCGCACGCTTTAGTCGCTCATGGGCGCTGCCATCTTCTGTCACCTTTGACCTCACGTCGTGCCGGAAGTGCATGCGTCGGCGGCCATGTTTACTACTGGCTGAAGGCAACGGCGTTCAGCTACAGAAGTGGGTAGTGGTATCCTTGGCCGGCAGCTGGGAAAAAGACAAAAGAATGCCAGTGCCCTTGTCATTTCTTAGCTAGCCGTGCTGCAGCCGTGCTTTCTCCCATCTCGTCCCTTCTCAACCTCACCTCTAAAATGAGCCTTGGAAAAAAAATCTCATAAAGTTAATTTTTAAATGAGGGATTTGGATTTTTATGGCTTTTAGGATGGCTTGGCGCTCATTATGATCCAGGACAGGGACTTCCAAACAACAGTCCCCAATTCTGGCAAACTTCTTCTTTCCTGGCTTCCTTTTCCCTGTGTGTTGCCCAAGACCTGATTGTGATCCCATTTCAATCTACTCCCAAGAGCAGTTCAAATTATTATTATTTTATATTATTGTTGTATTGGGAGTACATTGAGACACTTACAAATGTGCTTACAATGTATCATAGTTGAATTCACCCCTCCATCATTTTTCCTTTATTACCCCATTCCTGGAATAGTTCACCAGGTCTCACTTTTCCATTTGCATACATGAGTACACAATATTCCACCATATTCACTTCCTGCACCCTTTCCCTACATCTGCCCCCCCCCTCACTGGTGCCAACTCCAAGCAGGACCTGTTTTACCTTCCTGTTCACGGTTTTTGAAAAAAGACTTTTTGTTTGTTTAGAATATTTATGCAGAGACTTTCATTGTGACATTTTCATGTATTATAACCAAATTGGTTTATCCCTCTATTTTTCTCCTTTCTACAATTCAAATTATTTTGTTGTAGCATTACCTTGTATCCATGTAACTAGAGTTTTTAGGGGGAAAAGCCCCGCCTCTGAGAGCCTCAGCTGGACTGAGCTCAGTCACCTATCCCTACACACAAACTAAAAAAAGCAGAGAACAATAAAGAAAAGATGTAATCAAATGTGGCCACATTTGGAAGACATAAAAGGGGTTCAGTGATTCAGAGATTGTCCTTGGTTAGTGGCATGAGCTTTAGACTTAAAGGAGGAAATGGAGCAGGAGATGAGGGGTGTGTATAATTAAGCTTTCCAGGTCAAAGATGTAATCCAGTTCATTATCTCAAGATGGTCAAGTAGGGCCTGGTCACTTTAAGAAAGAAAGGCATTGTCATGTGGGGACAGTTTCAACTTTTGTCACAAGCAGATTATCCATCAGTCCTGTCCTTCCTGGAAGTCAAGGTGACTGCAGGACAGACTCAGAAGGAAAAGGTTAAAGAGGCAAAAATGGAGCCAGAGAGAGGCAAAATGGAGTTGGGCCAGTGACTGGGGCCCTCCTTCATCCATGTGAAGCACATTTATCATTATATGAGGCTGTTTTATAGAGTGATCAGAGAAAACCCACCCATAAGGTGTATCTGTGAGAGTGCTGCCCAAAGGCCTCCGGGGGTTAGCTCATCAAGGGTCACATCACCCGTCTGCTAGGCTATGAAGTCTATCCTCTGTTTTCCTTGAGGTCTGCTTCCCTTGGGCCACCCATAATAACACAGCAAGGCTGGCATAGACAGGAGGCATAATTCCTAGAAATAGACTCCTCTGAAGGTCACCTCTCCTCAAGGACTCCCAAGTGGCCTTTCCAGGCTTTCCTTAGACTACATCACAGTCTAGGATATCTTTGCCCAACCTTAATTCCTGTTCCTCAGTTACGGTCAGACTTGCATCTTGGCCTCATGGTCCTCCCATCTTTCTCATGCTCCATTCTCATTTCTCTTACAAATCCCTGCTGTTGAGTTCCCTCTTGGAACCTTCTTCTAGGAGGACACAAACTAACATAAGGTAACCCTGCAGCAGAGTGATGAAGAAGTGAGAGAGTGAGCCATTTACATCTTCCTGATAATTTTCCAAGAAGGCAATATAGCAAGTACAAACCAACAAGAACTAGGGGATTATGTGGGTACTCGTGTCTTTAGGGTGTGGACCATCAAGGCAGAAAGAGTGAACGAGGAGAGTTTGTGGACATAGGGCATCTCTATAACTTTACATCCTGACAAGGAGCCAGTGCTAATGCATTGATGGCCTAGTTTTGTAAGGTGCTTGTTTATTATAATTTATATATTATAATTTATAGTAAATTAGGTGAGAATGCTGGAGCTCCCTGGCCAAGAAGAGTGAGAATGTTTGGGGATGTGGAAATATTAGCAGAGTTTTTTTTTCCTGCTTTAGGATTCAAACCCACAGCCCCATTCATGCTAGATAAGCGCTCACCATGGAGCCCCAGCCCCAGCTCAGCCATGTTGGTTTTTGCTTGTTTGTTTGGCGTACGAGGAATCGAACCCTTGTCTGGTTCATTCCACACATATGTTAGAGTGGATTGAATACATGAGACCAGAGAACTTGCCAGCTGCATAGCTGGGGGGTGCCCTAAGGACCCTTCACTGATGGGAAAAGCTTGGAGTGACTACAGTAAGGTAGCAATAGGATAGCACTGTGATGAAACTTGATTCTCAAAGAGCACAGGAGATTCTAGAACTTCGCCATCGGAAGGCAGATGAGTGTGACATAACAGGATGCCAGGGCAGAGTGGTCACCATGGTTCCCTGACCAGCAATAGTTTGACCTCTGGCAGTCTGACCATGGTGTCGAGGGAAGTAACACAAGGGTAGATGGCCAGGGCGCTTCCTTGACTTGCAAAATCAGAATAAAGTCTGGCAAACCAAAGGCTGACATTGGTTAGAACAATGGAAAAAATCACAACCCCCCATGCAGCTTTTGGAATATGATCCCAGTTTTAGATCAGGGTCCAGCAATTGAAGAGGAGGCTGGGTACATTTGAGGGAGGACCCTGCAGGGCCACCAAGGTCACATCAGTAACTATTCTGATTATTCTCCAAAGGAGGCTGTGATTGGTCCCCACAGGTAGTAGACATTGGGAGAAATAAGAATCAGATCACCCAAGAGCTATTGGACACAGGGTCTGATTAGATGCTGATACGATAAGATCGAAAACTCCAGTCAGGTGTGGTGGTGCACATCTATAATCCCAGCACTCAGGAGGCAGAGGCAGGATGAGTCAGAGTTCAAGGCTAGTCTGGGCTACACAGTGAGACCCCATCTCACAAAACAAAACACAAAAGATCTAAAACATAATCAAGGGCCCCAGTTAGAGTGAGGGCTTGTGGATACCAGGTATAAGTCTGCCTCACAGTGGGTCAGCTCTGTGTGTCCCTACTTCATGCTACGAAGTGCACAAGTGAGGTAGATACACTGGGAAACTCACACACACCTTTATTTTTCTTTCCAGATATGGACTTGAACCCAGGGCCTTGTGCGTGCTAGGCAAGTGCTCTCCCACTGAGCTGCATCCTAACCCTTGCACCCTGTCTTGGCCCAACCAGTCTTAAGTGAGACCTCATACTGCATCCTGGATGGAATGGTAAGGCGTTGGTACCACCTCAGAAGTCAGAGGATCTGGTGTGGGCTCCTATTCTGTCCTACCCCTATTCAGTTTGCCTCTTTGGCTCCTGAAAAAATCGTTTGGATTTTTGGCAAATGAGACTTGAGCAATTTAAACAGAGATAAGTGCGTAGCCCAATCATAGCTGCTCTGTCTGGAATGAATTGATAGTTGATGCAGTCCCTGCAACTCAGTGTGGAACACTGATTGGCTCAGTGGGTTCCCCTCAGTTCCAAGTGATAAAAAAGGATTGAAGGTCAGCCAATCAGGAGGAGGAATAGAAGGGTCAAGGTTTGAGGCCAACTCAAGCACAAAGTTAGTGAGATCCTATCTCAAAAACAAGCCAGGTTTGGTCACTCACACCTGTAATCCCAGCTACTTGGGGAGGGAGAGGCAGAGGTAGGAAGATCTCAGTCTGAGGCCAGCCTGGGCAAAAACACAAGACCCTACCTGAAAAACAACCTGAAGCAAAAAGGGTAGGGACATGGCACAAGGGGTAGAGCACCTGCCTAGCAAGCACAAGGCTCTGAGTTCAAACCCCAGAACACCAGAAAAATTTTTTTTCAATTTAAAAAAAGGATTGAAGGTAGTTTGCTTCTCCAAAGGAAGACAACTTAATCCAGCAATTCTTCCTTACTCTGTCATTCCTGGTGCCTCGCAAGTTAACATGAGCTGCACGAAGACGGTTCTGTCACTGATGGCCATGTGTCCTGTTAGGTTTTAGTGGCCTCACACTCTTGTAGCTACATTGCATTACTCATGTCTGTGGTGAGGCTGGTGTGAACAAATTTGTTAGGTACATTCAGAAGGGCTGGAGGCATGGCTCAAGTGGTAGAGTATCTGATTCACAAGTACAAGGTCCCGAGTTCAAATCTCAGCACCGCCACCGTTGCCTGCAGTATTCAGTGCCATTCAGTACAGTATTATCTGAACACCAGGCTTGTTGCTCAGGAGCCGTAGGGTATACCTACAGCCTAGGAGTGCAGTCAGCTGTACTATCTAGGTTGTGTAAGTACATGCTTTGGTGTTTGCAAGAAAATTACCTAGGGCTGGGGGTGTGGCTAAAGAGGTAGAGCATCTGCCTAGCGAGCGTAAGGCCCTGAGTTCAAATCCCATGAAAAAAATCATCTAATGAGACATTACTCACTGAGCACTCATGAGTATCTGTGTGCAAGCTTGTGTCTTTGAGCTGAGCAGGTATATAGTGTAGTGACACAAGCCTTTAATCCAGCACTCCGGAGGCTGAGGCAGGAGAGTCATGAGTTCAAGGATAGCCTGGGCTAGCAAGACCCCACCTCCAAAAGCCAGCAACAGCAAAAACAACCTTGTCTGTGACTGAGCTTTCATTGATAAGCTAAGACATATATCAACAAAGGAGAATTAAGAATTATGTCAGTATTATTGTTATGCAGCTACTTATATATGTATGAAATGAAGGTATTTCATAAGCCAGACTGTTTTGGTTTTTTGGCAGTACTG